CTTCTTACACCACCCCCCCCAGACAGGCCCGAGGCGTCATGCTGTTCTGCGCTCTCTTTAATTACACCCCGAAAACGGGACGCGTGACGTATTGCCATGTGGCGAAAGGGACAAAAAAACGACCTCCACTCCGGATTGAAATCGCCTCGCGATCTGTAGCTTGGTCGTTAATCAACGCCGCAGCGATACTTCACATTTGAAGAAACATTTCGCGCATACGAATAAAAATTATCGAGAAATCTTAATTTTCTTTCTTCCTCTCTCTCTCTCTGTATTGTAATAATATAGCAATTCTTATAAAACTGTTTTGTATGTTTGCATGTTTACAGATTAAATATTTTTTAAACAGTCTATGTTTTTGACGACAAATTTATTTATCGATATTTATGAATCTAGAAATTTTCTCAAAACGAATATACCACCTTAAAATTTGTCGATTTGCTGAAATTTTAGAAGAAGTAATATGAGGGATTTATTGGAAAGAAGTAAAGTTCGACGATGGAGGAGTCACTTAAAGCGTTGGCCCGGTTAGTGCTAAATATTTGATCAGAATCCGATTGGTTTAAGACGTCAGCCGGTAAGCGAGGGTATACTCATGGGACGGACGAAAAAACAGGAAGAAGGAGAAAGCTCAACGAATGGACGGACAGTTAGTAGCTAGACGACGGAGTATTCCCTCGAGTCGAACGGCAAAATGATGTCAAACGGACAGCTCAGCTGTCCTGGTCACAGCATTCTCTTTTTAGTATATCTACAATTCGCTTTAAAATTTTTCTTTCACTATCTCTCTTTCTCTTTATCTTTCTTTGTTTCTCTTTTGCTCCCTCTTTTTTTGCACGCCCAATGACAGCTATAGAAAGCAAATAACGATGGCATCTTGAAGCAGTACAGAAATAAAGATCAATTCTGCTATTGTTAGTTTTAAACGAGATTCGTAGAGATGATATAACTTGAAAGGAACATCGTTATAATGTCATTTGTGAACTTTTTTCCAATAAAATATACACGCCAAGACATTATCGCTATTTCATTTAATTATATAAATATAATTAATTAAATTATATATTTAATATTAAATTATAAATTAATTATATAAATTAGTAGATAAAATAATAAAGTGATCCTCTTTAGAATTTTAAAAAAGTGGTTAAATAATCGCTATTACTCGTAATATAACATTTTAATATATCACATTTAATATATATATATAATTAAAGAAAATTTCATGACTTATTAATTGTATCAATATATATTGATAAGTAATATTAATAAGTCATGAAATTTTCTTTAATTGTGACGAGTTTCTTTAATTGTTAAGCCTACACTTGTTCTTGTTTTCTTAACGTGAATCAGCAGCGGCAAAGAACATGGAAAGCACAAAGGTCGAATCGCGCAAAATTCATGCGAATCTACGTAGTGCCAAGTGGGGTGCATTAGCCAAGTTCCCCATTATCCACGCGTGAGAGACCCCTAAATTATCCGGTGCTCGCCTAGCGCCGATCTTGCCCACCCTTGCACGTCGGCGAGAAAAAGACGTATGACCGTCTTTTTTCGAGAACCCTCGACAGGCTCCGGAATGAAGTTACCAAAGCGTGATTTTTGCAATTGCAAGAAATTCATTAGATATCAAAACGTTTACAAGGAAATTATTTAAATTATCATTTGTGTCAGATCTCATTTATTTTTGTTGAGATTTATCTTTGTATATTATTCCTTCAATTAATAATTTAGAGTTAGTCTCTCACATGCGTGGATGAGGAAATTGGTTATTTATGTTATTAATCTAATATTATTAGCAGACTTAGTGTTTTCTGACCAAAGTTAATACTAATATTTTGAAAGCCAATTTAACACAAATTCGCAACCGATGAAATTTATCTTCAATATAACCGGAATTCTAATTTGTTATCTAATTGTTGAAAATTGTAAAGAGAATATTAATACTCGTAAAAAATAGTAAAGAAGGAGAGAAAGAAGGAGGGGAAAAAAGAAGGATAGAGAAATTGAAAGTAAAAAAGAAAGAGAAAGAAAGAGAAAGCATTTGCACGTACGTACATATGAATAGAGGAAGTAAGATAAAAGAGCGAGAGGATAAAACGAAGGCAGAAAGGCAGAGAAATAGAAGAGGAGGGAAAGAGTCACAATGAGAAAGAGAGAGCGAGAGGCATAAGAACCGTCAGGAAGATAGAGAACGCAAGTTTGGGCTATCTCTCCGAGCACAGTTCCAAGGAGCTTCCTTTAGACTTTAGTGACGTGACGTCGCCTTAATACTCTAATCCCTGCAATGGAAGCACCATCGTCCGCCTTGCGTCGTCGTGTTCTGTCTAACCGTCCTCTTACCCCATGCCACGCCATGCTCGGCACATGTTAATTAATTGAATACAGATTTTCAGATATTCAAATCTCTCGCGTCCATTTCTAAAACATAATAAATGTTTGTTAAATATTGTGATATTTATCAAGTATCCAAATGTACAAAAATGCCTTAAAGATTTAGTGTAAAAAAATTATAATAATTGAAATAAAATAATTATATATTGCTTAATTTTTTTTAGTTTTAAATAAAAAGTAAAATTTATTTAATGTATCAAACGATATTAAAAATGTTTATAGATGTTTCTAATGGAGACTTCGACGATATCAACAATGTCTCTTTTTTTTGCGAGAATTTAAAGTCAACCTTTACGTAATACATCTGCATAGCTATTCACCCATACTAGGACTATACGCTTGCTTTCTAATTATTCCCCACAGACCGTAAGGGATGACACGTAATTGGAGGGTGGACCAGGACGCATCGATCCCCGACTCGAAGGGATTCTAGCTCTTTCTTGTGTCGTATCTCCCCTTCCCCTCCCTTTTTCTCTCTGCCCATTTCATCCTTACGCAGTTTCTCCGTCGAAGGCCAGTTTCAAGAGCATTGATTCGCAAAGAAAAGTGATAATGTCTTAAGCCGTTGGTGCGATTTAACTTCCGATTTTGGACGAGGGTACTCCCGTCCTTCCATCCCTAGCAAGAGTTCGTCGCTCTAAACTCCCGACTACGTGGTCTGAGGAGGGTTTAAGGTTTAAGGGAAGCTCTCTCATTCCTTGGGATCCTAGGGAGCTCCGCTAAGCGCTGACGCTGATCCCGTTCTTCTTCTGACTCCGCTACCTCCAGGAGCTCGGGTTTATCTAATTCCAGTTGTAGGTTCCTCCTATCGCTGTAAACCTTACGAGCATACCAAAGGGCAAGCGTCGTGCAGTTAGGTCTAAAGTCTTACAAGTCATCTGAAAGACAGATAACTTATTAATTTGAAATAATGTATAATTGTTAAAGATTATGTATTTTAAAATTCTGAAATATATCTGAATATTTTAAATATCAAATTTCACGTATAAAATCTAGTTATGACAAGGGGTGAGGCAAATAATATTAATAAATCTTTATTTTTAATTATGGAATCAACTGAGCTCTCTCTCTCTCTCTCTCTCTCTCTCTTACGACAGTTTCAATTATAATAACTTTTTAGCCTCTTTTTTGCTGTAAAATAAAAATAATTATAAATTAATTTTATGAGTACCGTGAATATCATGTAATGGACATATATATATATATATATATATATATATATATATATATATATATTAATACAAATTATCGTTTATGTTCGCGGGATTATGTATACTGTAAATTAATCATAAATCCTAATATGTAATAATTTTTGGTTTGTTCAAATAGTCATTTTATATTTATCATTAGTCAGAAATTTACGAAGAGAAAATTACAAATTTGCTAGGAAGAAAGTTATTTCTGTTCAGACTAGCAAAGATTTGACTTTTCCTTTGAAAATCCAGCTACGCAAAGAACTCGCGAGTTGCAAAAGGGAGTAGATCCGCGAGGTCGCTGGCCGGGACCAATGTTGCTCGGATTCCTAAAGCAGCAAAGAGAGAACCAAGTAGTACGTACATACATATAGTAACGCGAGGCAGCTCGAAGGATGGCGGAGGGATGGTAGTATAGACGCGGGTGGATATAAGCGAGAGAGGTGTACGGAGAGCACGTACCTCAACACACTGAGAGAGAAAGAGAGATCTAGAAGGAGAGAATCCTAGGTGTGCACCCAGGAATCGTGTCCCCTTCTACAATATCCGTGGCGGGGGGGTCGAGGTGAGCAAAAGGGATGTGCAGAGGGGCTGGGAATCGTGCTCCAGCCAAGCTCAAGGGGGTGGACAGTGCGCAGAACCCGCCCCCACCTTTCGCGACGAAGCAGAAGCCGCCGGCTGCCCGCGCAAGTCTTCATCCCCTCCGTGCGCGACGGAAGATCGCCACCCCCGAACGAACTTAAACATAGCACAGTAGCTCGCGAGCACGCCGTCTGAAAGGGCCATCGCGCACACCGACCCGGACTTGTTACCTACATATATATATGTGTGTATACATATATATATACATATATGTATATATAGATATCGGCGGTTTGTGTCGAGCACGCGTGTCCTCGCTGTATGCATGCGCGCGTGCGTGTCACGCAGTGCCTCTCGGAACATCTCGAATCCGCCGCAAGGACGAAACAAGATAGAGTGTGTGGCTTGCTAGAAAAAATAATACGAGAATCCAAGCGATCCTTCATCAGGACAAAGAAAGAAAGACAGAGAGAAAAAAGGGAGATATACGGACACTTCTCGGCACAGAATGACACTTCGGATTCGTGGCGCACTCGACGATCCTCTGCGGATGTCAGGTGAATTCTCTTGAGAGACGCACAGTCTCTTAAACTTTGAATGTGCTGTTAAGTAGATGATGGAGGGAGAGAGAGAAGAGGCCTATGGGGCAGGCGCTGAGGATCTACCGCAACGAAAGAGCGGCAAGGATCCTAAGCGAAGTGGCCTCTTTCGTTAGATCGCGCCGCCCTCGAAATCGACGAAATCAATCTTGCACTCGTGTACCGAACGCACCGCGTCCCTTGCGCCCGCATGGCAGAGCAGATTTGCTGATCCTCTGGAATTTTTGTGTTCCAGGGTGGAACTGACCAGCGTGCCAGGCGGACAGAATGCGATGGCTCATCTCAAAAAGCGGAAGCTGGAAGCAGAATCGGTTACGCAGAATCCTAAACAGACGCAGCAGCCGTTGCAGCAGCAATTGTTAATCAACAAGAAGGGCCTGCAGACGAACACGCCGCAAGAGATGGAGCCGACTGATGCCGCCGTGAAGCGAAGGAGGAAAAGTGTTCGCGACGACGACGCACGAAAGACGATCGACATCGTTGATCCTAACAAAAACATACCGCTGCCCCAAAAGAAACGCGCCTTTGCATCGGGTAATTCAGGTAGTCCTGCTAGAAAATCCAGCAAACACTGCGAAGAACCCGAAGATGACGAGACTTTAATAAGAGAAACCGAAGCCGCCCTGAAGAGTTTGTCAGGTAGCTGGCCCGGACCTAGAGGATCTCTATATCAAAGAGGCAATTCGGACGAAGATAGATACGAGTCTAACTTTGAGAATCTTTTCGAAGAGAAGAAAGAAAATCCTAAATTATCGCCCTCATCAACATCTTCGAATACAAGCAACGATACTGGTTGTTCATTGAAGGACGTGATAACTTTCCGCGGACAACAGGATCGATCTGGTAAAATGCAACAGCAAAATAGACAAGATTCGAAACAACAACAACATCCGATTAAAACTAAGAAAGACTTGGATAATCTTCTGAAGATAGAGAACGAATGTGCGAATATTCAGTCTCAAGTCAATAATGTCAATCAGAACGAATTGCCGAAAATTAGACCGATTTCCGTTCGATCATTATCGAACAAGGATAGAAACGATAGGAACATGGTGAGTACACATATTGACTCTCAAGGAAGACAATCAGACAAGTATTCCCGATACGATCCGCCAGATTTCAACGAGTTGGTCGATGATTCGTCCAACGAACTTGAAATCGACATGTCCGATCCAACAACTGACAAAGATGAAAACGATCGAGATAAATCGAACGATAGAGAGCGAGATCGAACATGCAAAAATGGTCAATCACCACAGAGTATTGGCAGACAACAGCAACAGCATCATCAACAGCATCAGGCGCTTTATTCAAATTATCAGAGACAGTACGAGAGCAACATAAAAGTTTCACCTACGGGAACTCCGTCATCCTCGTCACCGCCAACGAGTTCGCCATTCTCAGCAACATCCGCATTCAGGCCACCTAACACGGACCATTCGAAAGTTCCATGTCGCAGCGCTCCATCAGTTCCGGTAGCCTCTTCGGCGATTCCGCCAATCGGTCCATATCCAGCTGCCGCTACATTTGTGGGATATCCAACGCCTGGACCGACGATGCCATCACCGCAGCCCGTGGCCGGCATATCGCCCGTGTCGGAGGACAAGCATTCGTCTACGGTGTCTCTGTTGCAGCTTAAATCCTCGAAAGAAGAGAGTCATCACGTGACGGCTCACAATGTAGCCTCCAATTCTGTGTCTCCCAGCAAGAGCCCTCCTGGCAATTTACCTGCCGTTACCAGTCCCGATTCTTCGAAACAGTACACAATCTTACAACCTGCGGGAGTGGGCTCCAGAGCGGCCAGTGCGATCCAAGATATCACGAGGGATGGAGTGGTCAGTGTCGCTGCCGTGAGCAGCTGCACCACGGCAAGCAACGGCGGTACGAACAATGTCAATGCCGCGAATGTAAACGGCAACGGAGTCGGCAATAAAGCAACGACCAACGGCAGTAACAGTGCCAATGATAATGGCAATACCGCGAATCCTGCCGGAAATCCTAATGCGAACAGCATCGCCAGCATAACCATTACGACGGCATCAACGACCACTACTACATCCAGTCCGGCAATTGCTGCCGATGTGCCCGCAGCGAGCGGCCAGCAGGACAATGTCATGAAAATGCCAGAGAGACCCGGCACCTTCGATAGTAGCAGACCGGGAATGTCCATGTCTCCGTCCAGTCTCGGCAGAGGTGAGGATTTCGATGTCTTGTCTGTCGAATTATAAATATATTGCATAGAAACGACAATCAAATTGATATTAATATTGAAACTGTATATTATCGGGCGATTTATTCAATTATTTGCAGACAGAATCTTTCGATTTATCAAGATCAAGATATACACATAAAAAAAAGTTAAATTTATGTAGAAACTAATATTGTTACTGATAAATTTTCAGTCAAATAAAATATAATATCGTGTTCTAAAAATATTGTTATCTGATACCGATATATCAGTAATAGAATCATTAAAAAAAAAAGTACATTATGTATAATTTTTAATTTATAGAAATTATTAATTTATAGTTGTGAATAACGTAGTACTATTAAATCTTATAATAGATGTGAATAACATAATATTATTACGTTATAATATTATTAAATTGTAATATTATTAAATCTTATAATATACTATACTTTGCAACTTCTGAAAATTAAAGATATTTTTTTAATTTTTATAAAACGCGCCCAAATGCAAACATGTGTTCGAAATTCTTTAAATTATTGACAAAGATAGTAATCGTAAGTAGTAGTGGAGTTATACCGGTCGTATGTTATGCGTTACGAGAGGGGACAAAAGGCATTTTCGACTCTCTCGCTTACGCCGTTCCTCGCCTTCTCTCAATCTCTCTCTCTTTCTCTTTCTCTCTCACTTTCTCTGTCTTGCTCTCTATAAAGTTAGGGGAGTTAGGGCAGCACGGAAAATCAATAATTACGAAGCGAGGGGTGATGACTCAAATGCTGAAATCAAGGTCTCTTCGAGCAAAATTATTCTCCCGTATCCTATGATATAGGCATTCTATCTTTATCCCTGTCGTTGCTTCTCTCTTCTTCTTCTTTCTTATCCAGCTGTTGTTGTATCTCTTTTCGATTTTACGAAACACATCGCGTATTTAAGAAAGTAAGCTTCCAATTAGCAGGAATAGTACTTTGTAAAGTAACAGCATCTTAATCGCGTTCAAATATTGTCGATCATTTTTCATGGGGCAAGCGTTAATGAAATTATTTTTCCTTCCATGGTTTGACGCATTAATATACACGATAAAAGAGATGAACGCAATCTTTTTTTCGAGAAGAATCAAAAAGCTATCTTCACGCACTGTAGATGCGCCATGGTGTGACAGGTGGAGGCTCGAGTGCATTCCAGGGTCTTAGGGCAGCGAAGACACGACGTGTCTAGTCGGGGAAATTTGGGGTTGATACCACGTCATACGTATAAGCCGCAGCTGTCAGCGGCTGGAAACGTGACTAGCATCCCAGCCGCTCCAAGCCACCTTATTACCACCCTGCGCCTGGCTGCCTGTCCTCATTATCCCCTTAACGTTTTCTCCGACCGATGGCTGCGAAGATGATCGCTTTCAAGAATTCAATCTTCCGCGTTTGATTTCTCGTCTGCCGCAAATTAAGCGAATTAATATTAACGATTAAAAAAAACATTATAAATTATTATTATTTCCAAAGAAATTTTTCAAGTTAAATAGGCCGATAGGCATTAAAGTAACAACAATTTGCTTGTTGCGAAATCTCAGATAAGACTACGACATGATAAATGGGTCCGATTAAACGCGTACTTATCAGCGTGACAGCAATACAACCGTACTATAGTCGGTCAAGCGAGGGGCGGTTTTAATCGAAAATCCGTCTCTTTTTCTCTTCCTATCTATCTTTCATTCTATCCCTTTCTCTCTCGCCGCCGAGAGTTGCTCTTGATCTCTTCGATTTAGCGTGACGATCGCGTGCGCCCTTTTTTTTATTCGCCAGGCGCGCACATGCAGGCGCGTAAGAGCGTGTTGACACGCCATAAAACCGCTATCGGGAAATCCGTCGGCCGCAAAAACCACCCTTTCCGCGTCGAGAAAGACCGGCCGCGCGCGCGACCGGGGTCGAGCCGGCTAATAAAAAAATAAACTGCCCTGTAACTCAATTTTACGCTGCCTTTGCGACCGCACGCATAAAAAGGACCTTTACTCGCGCGCGAGGGCTCTACCCTCCCTTTAAGGGCGCCGCGCGCCTCCGTGTGTAAATACCTACTTTGTGATTGTTCCTCGCGCTGTTCTCTCTTTTTTTAGAACCTCCGACTTTTCCTTATCCAGCATGCGATTCAATACAGGGAAGCCACTGGGAGGCTATTACATGCATCGACTATTCTATATGGTTGAGAATGTGTAGCTTCATACATATTGGTTTTACCCGAGATTCTTATATCGCAATCTTGTACGGTTGAATTTGTTACACATATTATGTTGTACCGAGTTATACTCATCGCATGCTACAAAATAAGTATTTACTTTTGCTACTAATTAAAATTCATTTTAAAATATAGCGCTGTTTTGTCGAAAATTTAACGTCCAAATAATGCTCTCAAGAGAAAATGCGGTATCATGTTAATGGCATTTAGTATATCCGCATTTTCAAGTTCGCCTCATGACACGCGATTTACCGATTTTTTTTTCATTCTTTAAAAATAAACTTGAAGAAATTGAATCATGCAATTAATGCAAACGAAAAGATACGATTCTAAGTATTGCAGAGAAATTAATTGTTTAAATTCAGACGAGTTTCATTTAAACCTGTATAATATATTGCGCATTGAATTTTAATTATATTTATTACGTTCTAGTATCTTTACTTTTTTCTGTCAAAATAATGATCATTGACTGATCATCAACAAAGATAAAGTGTGGAAAATACGAAAATTTCGATTTCAATTAAATAACGTGCAAATAAATTCAATTTATAATCTAAAGCAATCAAATTTAGACATTATTATCAATGTACACTTCTACTGTGGAATTAATTTGGCTTGCTCGAATATTCATCCGTTGCACGCGCATACTCAATTGCGTTGATTAACGACTTTTGACAGCGAATTAATAATTAGCAAGCAGCGGGCGCTCAATTCTCTCCGATTATCTTGACGACGACGATGATTTTTCGCAGTCGAACGAAAGTCTCGGCGCGTGTCGCGTAGGCTGACCGAATGAAACAATCCCGGTGTTTATATACACGTCTACCCCTTCCGCGGACCCTCACGTGAAATGGCTACAAAATAACACAATTACAACGCGACCACGGGCTCACCCTCGGTGACCGACGCTCGTCCTCGTTCTCACCCCTTGATTCCGCTCTTTTCCCTTTTCCCTCTGACTCTCGCTGCTCCATTACAACATGCTGTAGGGAAAAAGAAACCAAAAGAGAGGGACTGAGGTAGAGAGAACAGGAGGATAAGATTTAAGGGAAAAAGATAGAAATAGATAAATATAAAGAGAGAGGAAGAAAATGGCGAAAGAGAGTGAGAAAAGATAAGAGAAAAATAAGGGTGAAGGCAGGTCTGACCGACTCGTTACAAGTCTATTCAGACATCCGGAAAGAACAGCGCGTGCCGGTATTCATTTTGTTGACCGGAACCATTATCTGCCCCTTCGTTCGTTTTTTCTCTCTCATTCTCTCTATTTCTCTCTTTCTCTCTCTCTCTCTTTTTCTATCTCTTTTTTTCTCTCGTTCTTTCTTTTCATCCCCGAGTTTAGCCACCGACGTGGCCGTTTTAAAACCTTACGGCTAATTTATTAATCCTACAAGGGCAACCGCTCGCCCTCAGTTATCCGGTGAACCTTTTTTACCCGGCGCTAATTAAAAACCAGGAAGCTTCAGCGATCCTTCCTCAAAATAAAAATAACACCGATTTTCTCTATCACGAATTTTCTAATATTCGTAACGTATTATTCTGACATTTATTACGTATTTTCCATATATCATAACGATATTTCTTTTTATTCGAATAAAAATTGAGCACATTTCAACTTTAATCTTTGGCAAACTTTTTAATTTTGAAACAAAATTAAGCCGTCTAGTTTCTTTTCGTAGAATTACGCTGTTTCAAACAGTGTGTCCTGACAGTGTGTCCCATCGTTCAACTTCGAAACTTGGAGAGCATCGTGGTCCGCAAATAAAGCATGCCGCTAATGACGTCACGTATCGTAATCCAATTTATAGGGAGGGCGATGCCATCCGCGCCTTAAGAAAAAGGCGAACATCTAAGTAGGGATCGACTTTCTTTCCTTCCGTCGGTTCTCGCTCTCCTGAAACGCGAAATGACGACCTGATGAAGTTTCTCGGCGTCACGGCGCTCGATTGGAGAGCCCCAACGTAGTTGCTAGGGGATCAGGCCCGGGCGAAGGATTAGTACACGACAAAGTTTATAAAAGTGCGCTCACTTCAAGAGAACTCCCGTCAACTAACCTAAAGCTGGCCACCCCTTAAGGGGCTCCTCCGGAATCTCTTTCCGAACCCTCCAACACACGTGACAAACTTACCTATGTTCCGTCGCGACCATGATGTACTTGCGATGATTGCGACACTGAAGTAGCGAGATCTGTGCTCTTTAACAGACGAATCGGTAGAAAATTTTAGTTACGCAATCTAGAAATAAAAAATTATTACGATAAATTATTATGCAAAGATATATTATATATTCCTTTCTGCTATATATATGTATTTAAAAATATTTATTATTACTACCTCTCTCTCTCTCTTTCTTTTGCTCTGATATTGCATAATTATAAAAAATTAGATATTTGGTAAAATAATTTACAAAATTTTGTAAAAATTATATATAAATCTAGTAATTATAAACAAATAGTACTTTTTTAAATAGATATTTTTTATGGATGTTTAAAGTTACAGCTATATGTGAATGGAATTTACAATAGTATTAGTTAATATAGCTTTCAGAGCCGATCATACAGTCTGATTTTAAGGATTGGGTAGGAACCTTTAGTCGCATTTATCCTTCACGATTGAAATAAAGAGAACCTTGCCGAAGGGGCTCATATTAACCGATTGGTACTTCTCGGCTACCTGCAGTGTACTAGAAACCTGTAATTGTCTGGTCACGCGAGGTCGCCCCGGGAATACGAACGCGATCATACGTGACGTGCGCTATACCTACCATTATAATACAGCTAGTGCACGACAGATGTTACAATTGGTCGTTTGGGCATACTCGTCTAGCACCAATAGTTTGCAGTTTCGTATCTCTGTTGTAAGCATACAAAGTGGACTAGCTCTAAAAAAAATTTAGAAATTATCGACACAAATTATCGGTTGATGCAGACGTCTGCAATATAGCACACAAGGATCATACATCTTTAAATAAATCATAATGAAACCATGACGAAGTATCGTGCTGTCTGCAAAGACTCATTTACGTCTATAAATATTTGCAATTCGTAACAAATAGAAATCTACTTGTTATAAAGAATATAGATATATTCTTCTAGATATCCTTCTTTTATTCGATCGTGTGTAATATTGATAAACGATGTATAATATAAAAAAAGTGTATTAATAAATAGATATAGGAGAAACGAAATATCATGTAGCGAAACTTTTTCCCGATCGCTAAAACTTTCGTTCTGTTACACGAGAATGAGGTATCTATCTCTTCTTTGTTTCGCGGACAGTTGTAGGCCGGCCACATACCCCGTGCTAATCCCGAAGGCTTAGTCACGGGACAGAGAAATCCCAGAGGCTATTCACAAATGCGTAACTCGTGCGACGAGATCCGAGCTGACCACACGCGAGGCCATTTCTCCCCTTCTGGACCGTCCTTTCAACTTTCACTTGGGGCCTCTCGCCAGGATTGGGGAAACTCATTCTGAAAAATGCTATTAAATAACATGCACGCTCGAGGAAACTGTACAAATTTTTTGAAACTTCTTTCCGAAATATCTGAAAGATTGTTATAGACAAATAAATTGAGAGAGAGAAAGAGAGAGAAAGTACAATTTATCATAAATTATTTTTACATTAGAAAAAAATATAATCTTGCACGAGTAATATTATATTTTATTTTATATATGTACACTGTATACGTAATATTTTCATACAACCTATATTTATTTCTCTTTACTTTACACTCATTTAATTGATAATTCATCATCAAAAAAGAACATAATCTAAATAGAAAAATTTAAAAGTCTTTAAAATCGATTGGGTTAATGAGTTTCCTCATCTTACGCGTAAATTTTATGTGAGGCATCTCTTTTAAATATATATTTTACGAAAAACATATCTACAGTAATGAAAAAAAAATTATTATTATTTGCTTCTGCAGGCTTCAGTAAAATCATGAAATAATTAATTTATCATGAAATTTATCATGAAATAATTAATCTATTTTTTTAACATAAATAAATTTGTACGTGAATTAATAAAGAGATAAAGTTATTATAAAATAAATTTCAATATGAAATAAAATAGAGATGTGATATTTTTCGTTACACTGGCTCGCAGAGTCCTTCGCCCTGACTGTTCAACGTTCCCTGTGAAGGATAAGAGGTATACGTGATATATTGGCAAACGGGGAGTAAGCTGTATGCTGGTTCGATGTGCAGAATGAAACTACGCGACGATATCGAACACGTCGGCTGTCAGCCATTCAATAGTTAATTTCCATTCAACAGCACGCGTTGCTAACAGTATACAACATGCAAGCATACCCAAGAGAGAGAAGAAAAATACACATTATTTTTCATATATTTTCCAATTCATATTTTTTCTCCTATATTCTTTCGAAATTATATAATAATATTAAGATTTATTATTAGTGCGCGCACGCCCATGTTTTCTATATATTATTTAGTTCCATGTAACATTAGTGAACATAATTATTATTACAAAAAGACATTTGCGGACCCGAGTGAAAGAACACTGTAACAATATAAAATTACATGAGTCTAATCACTCCGCTATCAGCAAACATAGATTAGAATCCGGACACGATTTCGATTGGTCGAAACCGAATATCTTGCACAATGAAAAGTACGTTCGCAAAAGAGAGATAGCTGAAATGTTCTTTATCAAGAGATCTAAAAATCTAATCAACTTACAGACTGACACAGATAACTTGAATAATATTTACGACAAAATTATTAAGATCACTTAGTACCGTTTTTCTTCCTGTTATGTTTAGTTTATTGACGAAGTCTCACATGGACGCATCAGCTTCTCTCAAATTTGAATTTAATTAAATAACGTTTTTTGTATTATGTGATTACGTGTTTTACATGTTCACCAGTTATGGTGCCTTTTGATTATTATTACATCGGTAAAAATCTTTTACACTTTAATTCTCTGTGCGTTGCTATGTAATCAAACCGTTAATTTATGTATTTATAAATCTTTTTTAGTGTATACTTGATAAGGACCACAACCACATGGTCGAAACGTCGTAATAAACTAATAATTTTTTGGCTAGTTTGGTCGACTACAGTTTTTCTATTGATCCTTTGATTACTCGACTAGCGACATTAAATTATTTACAATTATAATTATTATTCTTTCAAAAATCGATTTAAAAAGATATAATATTTTGACATGAATTTTTATACGATAATTAATTAATATTGACAATGGAATCTGTTAATTATACACTAATCTTTTTATAAATTAATATTACTGAGAGAAAAAGATTTTTTTACAACATAATATGCTTATTGTTTATGAGAAAGCGTTTTAGGAACATAGTGGATAAAGATTATTATGAAATGAACATGAAGATTTCATAAAATTGTCATTTAGCGGTAATATCTCCGCTTAAAGTATCATACGTGTATTCAGGAAAAGTGGATTGCGCGCATATTCTCGTGTCAATTGGTTGCGAGTGCAAGATTATGAAACCAAATGCAATAATAACACATTAAGCGCATTAAGCCGCATTCCGACCGACACGTTTTTGCCGCGAATAACACTCGTCGACAGTGTAACTATCCAATTTATTCAGAATTACAGTCCGCTTGTGTGAGGTTCATAAATTTCGATACAGAAATAACGCGATGCAGGGATAGTGTGATGTCGTGCGCTTGGTATTATTATAGTATATAATTAATATTGGAATGCAATGAGTTCAAAGCGGAAAAATAGCCTTCCTATTCTATTTTCGGAACATATATTTGACTTAAGATTTGCAAGAATTGTTTGTGACAGCTAATAATACTCAAATAAATTTGTATTCTCTATTTTTTGCGTACAAAATATGTATATATCTCTTTTGGATTTATAAATCTGAAATTGTTCTGAAATTATAATTCGCAGTTTTTTGTAAAGTGACAATCTCTATAATGATGCCCATATATTTTTGGATAAAATTTAATCAGCTTAAGTCGGAGCAGAGCTATCTCACAAGCTTATAATCGCCAAGCTCGACTAAAAACTAGCGTATCTCATGAATATCCGAAGTAGCACTTAATAGACTAACATCTGGCTCTACGTGGCGGTTTGATTTGTTACAGAGGGCAACAAGTGCCCGACCCCAGGCTGTACGGGGCAGGGTCACGTGACCGGACTCTACTCTCACCACCGCAGGTAAGCAATTATCGGTAATTAACCTGCGCTCCGCGCTCAGCCACGGCCGATTACTCACCTACGCGGTTTTACGGGAGAATCGAGCGGGGCGTCACATAGAGGCTGATATCAATAAGCCAATTTGTGATGCATATGTCAAGTTCTGTGCAACGTTAAAATATTAAATTATTTGCATGCGTGTATGTCAAATGTTCCATATTTAATAAAAAAAATAAAGCAATTTTATGCCCACGATTTAAACGTGTGTGTTGCACATAATCTTTAGGAAAAGAATCGAATAGCTAAAATATTAAATCTTATTAATTAATTTTTTCTATGTACTTACAGCCTTTCTGGATGTCCACAAAAGGATAAGTTAACTCCGGAAAGTAAGTGCATCTCTCTTCTTAAATTACTTCTTATTGTAGCTGTATAGTGCATCTTCTTTTTGCGAGAGTGTCTTTTTCTCACAACGAGGCGAGGAAGTGAAGAGTGAATCATCGGTGAAAATCATTTTAAATTATTCGATTAAATAATCTCTAGTCATCGCATAACTGAAAAAAAATAATTTCGAAATTAGTTCAAAAATTTTCAAATATAACTCTGGTAAACATCTTTGCATTTTCCAAGCATTTTTTAAATAATGTTAGTAAAAGTCTAATACTTTTATACTTCACAAATTAATTATTTATAAATTTTTATCATAACTGCGTGGACTATAAGAAAAAATTTTAAAATTACGCTTTTCGTGAGGCAATTATTTAGTTTTGCTTTTTCTTCAAACCATTTCCAATTAGCCTCATCCATAAAAGATCATTGTTCTCCGCGGCTTCCTCGCCTCATTAAACGCAACAAAAAAAGTATCTTCGATACACGAGATCAAATTAGAAGGAGAAAATGGATATTTTCCAGCGATGAGCGCGGTGCACGCGTCGCGTATGCGTGTGTGCGTGTGCGTATGTGTATTCTGTCTGTTGTATTCTTTGCGCTTTTCATTTTGCGGGGTAGAGAGCTTTATTTATTGCGTTCCTTTCTGTTTCAATTTATCATTCTGTTTCGTAGTTCATTATAGTAGAGTATTATCACCACACTCGAGAACTTGATTATATTGGTCGTGGCCTATATGAACTCTCTGGAGAACTCGAGACACGGGCGGCGCGCGACGAGCCGGTGTGCGCGCACACGCCGGACATTTCACACGGAGGACGCTTGTGCGATTGAGTATAATTACGCAACGATCGGTGGGATGATCGATGTAGCAGTTTCCGCACCGGCGGATCCCGACAATTAACGACAAATCAAGTCGTTGCGCAGAGGATACGACGTGGCCCATCTGCATAACATTGTGTACATACGTGTAACAATTGTACAATTTTTATTTCCACCTGTGGTAAGCTTGTCCCGATTCCTTCATCGAGAACGTTGAATCTTCTCCGAGGCATCGACAGAATCAAGTGCGTTCGCTTGCGTCACGGATGGATAAACGCTCTCATCGACGTTGCACACTCCCTCACACAGATTGCAAGTTGTTGTGTTATAATTTTCTATCGATTAATTCATTGTCTTTACTTGTGTTTTTCTCTCTACCCGCTCGGTATACTTGATTGTAACTGTTACACGTTAACTTGCGTTTCACACGTGGTGTGCGACGCCGTGTACTTTGCCTCTTATCGTTTTCTGACCTCTTTTCGTTTCTCGTCTTGTTTCTCTTTCACAACGTGTACTACATACGTGTACCACATACTTCCTCTCTACTCTCTCTCTATTGAAACTCTTCCATTCCGCTCACTCGTGAATCGAGGGATGTAAAGTACGTCACGTTCAGAGATTCCATCTTTCTCTCGTGAAATTTTCTCGTCTCTCTTGGGAAACGTATGGTGCGCAACAGAGATAATTATACTCAATGCATAAAGAGACAGCTCGTCTTATGAACACATACACCACCTGCCGCGTGCGTGTGCGCCGCGTCTCTCTCTCTAATTGTGTATACGTAACGCGTGAACGTGCCAAGACGTCATCTGTAATTACGCCACGTGTCTCTGGGTTCTCGCAGTTCTGGCGATGCATGAGACTATATTGAAATGCCCGACGCCTGGTTGCAACGGCCGCGGTCATGTCAGCTCTAATCGGAACACGCACAGAAGTCTGTCCGGATGTCCCATCGCCGCGGCCAATAAACAGGCCGCACGCGAGGCCCGACAAAAGGCTCAAGGTAAGAATGGTATAGGAACTCGTCGTGCGTGTCCAGGATGCGACGTACATGAGAATCCACGCCGTTCCATCCGACGAGATTAACGCTTAAATGCCGGAGACAGGATAGAGACTGTAATCTTGCGCGTAAGGCACGCATCTCGTGCTTCGCAGTTCGTTGCGCTTGTGTCTTGATTGCTCCGGCTGATGTAATTGCGAGAATAATCGCTACCATGTGTTTTCCACGCGAATTTATTCGACATAATTGCATTTATTAGGAAAACATTATTAATATATATGCAACTTATTTACATTTATTTTTTTAATAAGCATCTTAGCTTTATGTAGATTTTGATTTGATTCGTTTGGATATAGATTAAAGAGATATAACGCCTTATAATACAATTTTTAAATCTCTCTTACTATTTTGTATAAACATATAATATAAATTTAATTATTAAATATCAATAATCAAATATACAAAAAAAATTTTATAAATATTACACGTAGATAAAATAATTGATAATATAAAAAGAGTTACTAACAATAAGACTATTATTGGGTTATTATTTGCTTGGATTGAGCGATTAAAATATTTCACACAATCACATAGCTGCATGCTTATTAGTGAGCATTATACAATGCTTCTGTAGGAAAAAAATATAATGCTTATTATTATTTTATATCCTTTATACACTAATTCATGAAATCTGTCATTTTGTGCAACTAACTATGGAACTAAGTACATTAATTTCTCGCGATAGTGCCAGGGATACCTCCAGAGTACATCAGCACGAATCTATTACCGCCATCAATGGACACAAAGAGTTATTCGCAGTACGGCTCCGCAACGCAAGACACGAAGCCCGTACTTAGTAGTTTGACCTACGATTATTATTCAACGACGAAGAACACCGGTATCAATGTGAAGCCTCCGAAAACGCCGGAGGACAATAATACACCGCGTCCCGCGAAAGTACCCAAGACGGAGAATATGACTCTGAGCAGCAGTTGTTGCAATACATTATCCATGAGGAACCAAAACACGGGTGAGCTGCTAGTCCCGAAGACGGAGGACGCCACGTCATGTAGAGTAAACTCACCCCCGCCACCACCACCCCCCGCAGTACGACAGACGTACGATTCTTACATGAGTCAAGACTCGAATTCCTCGTCCATGTCGTCCATGGACGCGATGGGCACGAGACCATCCATAGGAGCGACGATTCATCATCCCAGCCAGCATCCGACGCATCATGTCCTACCCATGCAGCCGGTCGCCTATCCAATGTCGATGGTAGAGGACACTAGAATGAGTCACCAAATGTCTCAAAGATCTCCTTACGAACCCACCGCCATGATGGCCGCGGCGGCGGCCGCGGCGGCTGCTGCAACCACCACGGAAGAGCTCTATCATCATAGATCTGCCGAACACGCGAGGGCGTATATGCATCCCGGGGCGAGCAATATAGCGCGGCCAGTTGTAACGTATTCCAATGATATAGCAGCTGGTAGAGGCTACGAGAACGCAGTGGTCACCGCAGCTAATCATCGACCCTATGATCCCGGTACCACCGCGACTTACGAGAGATACGATACGCAATCGTGCGCGCCTATCCCGTCTCAACAGCAGCAGCAGCAACAGCAGCAGCAGCAGCAACAACAACAACAGCAGCAGCTTCACTCGAGAGCGAATATGTATTACCTGGGTCAAACCGGTATGACACCCGAGGAGCAGGAGCGGGTTTACCATCAAGAAGCCGCGGCGGCCGCGCAACAGCATCAGATGGCGATGGCGGCCGCCACGGCGGCCGGGATGATCAAGACTGAAGATGGTAATTTGTTCGAAATCGTCTCTGCAAACATTGAAGATTCATCTGTAACTAAACGTTGCGTCTCCGTGGATGTTGCAGTGAAATGCGTTACGGTTGCGCAGATACAGCAGATGCAGAAACCTGGCGGGCCGCCAACTTCACCTGGAGGATCGGTGATGGATCTCTCTACCTCCAGCGTCACCTCTACTAGTCCGCAGGTCAGTCGATAGTGGATGTGCGCTAGAAATAAAGAAATCTATCGCGACAGATTTTTGCATTCATTAATGACGATTTAATTTACAGGCGCCTCCTTACGGTTCAAACAGTCTCAGTCCGCAATACGGAGGAGGACAAACGGTGGGCAGTAGTCCTCAAGCTGCAGCGAGTCCCCACTTGACGGCTAGTCCACAAGTTCCTAGTCCTCAGGGTCAGACTCTCGATCTTAGCGTCAATAGACTTCATAGGTATCGTCATCAATCTTTAATATTAATATCATAAATAATAATAAAACTTTGAAGTCTCCGAAAATATTTTAAAATATTCCTGTTTTCTTTTACCAGATACTTTTCTAAATCAAATATTTCTGTTTTTTTAATATTTCTAAATTATATAAAATGTTTAAGAAAATTTTAAAAATCATGTTTCTTACATATATAATACTAGCAAAATAAGGGAAATATATTTACTTCTACTGCAGCGGTGCCCCGAGTCCGCAGTATTCCACCGGCCACGGAGAAGCCGTCGCGGTTCCAGTAGGGCCGGGTTTCCCCGCGCCACGACCGATCGAAGAGCAGACCGAGCCCGTTGATTTCTCAACTGCGAACGAGCCGGTCAATTTCAGCGGGGGTCCGGGGATCAGGCCTGTACCCGGGTTTCCGCCGCCTGGAGTGCACGTCACGGCGTATAGTCGCGAAAGCACGCCCGACAGCGGGGGTTCCCACTACATAGATGCCTACCGAGATCCCACTGGTGAGTTATCATCGTTTATCCGCGGATAATCCGCTTTCCGAAGACACTTTATGACCCGCGACTGCTCTCTCTTTGCGGTCACATTCAATAATATGCGATTTATTTTGAGAAATGATAAAAATCCGTAACTTTTGCGATATTTTTCTAAGATATATTTTTCGCTCGTTGAAATGGCTAAACTATCGTAGCAATTTCTGTTTCAAAGTAACGTGAAATTTGAAAAAGCTTCTTTTTGCAATATTTCCTCAAGAGAAGCATTACGTGTTCGTAGGAAATGCATAATCTTTGATTACATTTTTACGTATAATTATGCATAATGTTAAACTATAATTCGCTTCGAGAATTCAGCGACGAATACGAACAGCCGTACAATGTCCAGCGAAAATGAAATAGGGCAAAAAAAAACAAACATACGCAGGAAGGGCGCGACAGCGTGTCCTTAACACTATAAATTTTAGTCAGCGCATACGGCAGGAGATACACGCGAAGCGTTAATGTGTCCTTACACGGGCGTCGTGTAACGTCAGGCGATAGCAGCGGCGACGAGGAGGAGGTTACCGTGGATGAGGGATTCGGAAGAGAACAAAGAGCCCGACGCCCCCGGGGGTCGGCAAGGGTGGCGAGGGACGAAGATGGGGGTGAGGGACGATACGCGGTTACAACCGTCGAATAAAAATTCACCAGAACAGTACATGACTGCCATAATAGGCACCTATGGCCGAACTCTCATTTTCCTCGGTCTCTCTGTGCCTTGGCATTCCAAACCCGCGGTCCATTCTGCCCCTCTCATCTCTTCCTCCTTCTCTCTCCCTCTGATCATCCCCCCGTTTTCTCCATTTCTCTCTCTCTCTCTTTCTCCCCGTCCTACGGCCTGAATGTGCACCGTGCGCACCCCTTCCCGTCGAACCACCCCCTGTGACGGTACACGGCCATTGTTAATTATCAATATTTCGCGTACACGTAGCGGCGGCAAAAGTCCGGCGCGGCCGATATTGTGCGGACTCTGACGCTGGGGAGTAGTTATTGAAATTGAAACATTCGAGCACACACAGCTCCGTGTTCCCCGGCCTCGACGCATACACGTGCGTGTCCGCGCGACGTTGCGCGCGCGCACAGTCGGCCTTCCGTCCGTCGGCTATTTGCACTGTGTGCTCTCTCAACAAAATGAATTCTTGCCAGTAAATAAACGTGTAGATTTTACAACAGTTAATCAAGCAGCGGGCTGCTCCTGTAGCGCGCTTGTGTTAGCGCTATTTCCGTGGCTCCCGTTCGAGCGCGATTACATGGCACGCATGAACGTATTTAAACCAAGTGTCCCAAAAATCGTACGCTTTCTCTATATCATAAGAATCAAACTTATATTTTTAGTTTGTAATAATACCCTTGATCATTATTGTTATATTAATTTTTGAGTTACGTTATAATAATTGATAGAAGAATTAATAATACTTTATAGATTGATTTTAATATTTAAAATAAGCATTGAACATAGAAGAAATAAAGAGTATTAATTAAAATTGTTTTAATCAAAATAATTGACTCGAAAATTATTGAAAAATGTGTTAAGTTTTGAAATTCTATAAAACAATGTAATGTAAGAACTTGATAGACAATTCATTTTACAGCAAGATATTTAGTACTTGTCATCTAATTACTTTTAAGAAATTATTACTTTTATTACTTTACTTATATAATTTCTTGTATACTAGGTTACGGACCAATGAGTCCTCATCCAGGCTACGGGATGACCGGCGTTCAACCCGAATATCCCGGAAACACGTACACTCCCTATCCTACTGCAGGTTACAATTGCGGTGGAACTTACCCGGGTGGTCCAGTGACTTCCGGTTATCAGATTCCAGCGGGTTATACTCCGGCACCCTGCTACAGCATGCCACCCCCACAGCACACGGTTGGACCCCTTGATAAACCATCCGGCAAGGATGACAGGTAGGATATTTTTTTCTCTCCTTTGGGTGGAATAATTATGAGCAATATTTGTCCGATTTATAACTGTTATTTTCGTCCTGTAAATATAATTTTGTATTCGTTAAATCGAAAAAAACATCGGAAATAATTTTAAATTAACTGAGGTCACAGAATATAGAGTTTTATTTAAAAATATTTTTACTCGGTAGATCTCGATTAAAAATACTATAAATTGATTGACATTCTCACCGCATATTTAACATTTCACGCAACTCTTTGATTATAAGCTTATGCTTAGATTGAATTTATATATATATTTGACATTTATTTTAATATAAATCTTAAGAATAATATAAGAAAGTTGACCTATCATTAGGTAATCATTTTTTAAATGATAAATATGAGATGAGAATACAAACATTTATAGCATAAAGTAGCATTTAGAGAATACGTCCACTCGTCGTACAGGCGAGCATCGCGAGTTCTCGCCTTGATATTTACTTGCCTTGCGGAAAGGATCGCACGAATCCTTCGCGATAGATTCGTGGCCGAAACTCGAAAAGGCGTGGAGGCGGTGGCGGCGGCGGCTAACATCAGCGGCGGAGGGCGAGAGGAAAAGGGGGCAAAACTCTCGCGCATACCCACCTCCATTTTGTTAATTAAAGTAATTACTCTTCGTACCAAAAGTGCCAACCTTATTCTAATTGACGTGAAGCTCGGCGCGGTATGGAGAAGGCGCGGTTGGGCGTATAAGAAGAGAATGAGGATGAGGCTTGAGTGGAAAACGTGCGCGCGCGCGCGCGGACTCGGGGGCCGAAAGGGGTTGAGAGAGCGTGGAGGCGAGGCAGGATAAGGTTAAAATGAGAGGTGGGGTATAATCAGTTGCCACCGCACTGGATTATGGACCGAGACCCTGCATCGTCTCCCGCCGTGGGTTAGAACCCCTGGAACACTTCCTCGGCTACCTCGAGGCAAAGTTGCTCTCGTCCCTTTTGTAACTTTACCGCGGTCCAAAATTCGATACGTCGCGTTTCGTAGATCTCACGAATGTCTCCTCGATGGACAAAAGTGCGAAAATTACGAATCTTTATTCTGTCAATAGTTAAAAAATATTTATTATTAGTAACTTACTTTTATTTGCATCAGAGTATCGTAAATCATTATATATAATAGTCAAAAGAAAAATTACTTTTTCCTCAGATTTATTTCATTATAACAAATTTTTTAAATCGTTTGACAAGAGAGGAAGAAATCTATCTATCCCTCTTTTGATTATAATATATCTCATATTTTTTAATTGTCTTAAAAATTAAATGATTTAGTAATTTTACTTTTGTGTAATACTACTTATACAATTTTATTCCATTTTATGATATAGAAGTTTTCATAATATCCGTTTCTTAATAATAATGACAAACACACATCTAATGAAATATGCTCATATTTGTCCTGTTACGCGCAATTTGGAATTTTATGAAATAAAAAGTACATTCAATCATTTCACGATATTAATCTTTCCACGTCTGTCCTCCAATCGTTGGCTGCATCTTTATTGAAACTATATAACGTAGAACACGTTACCGCCAGCTGTAACCTCGGTAAAACCAATCTATATCCGAACTTCAACTTTATTAATGGTGGCGGGCAATATAACTACGGCCCTTCATGTCCTAACTATATTATCGGTATTCTCTCTCAAACATTTATTAGTATACCTTGATTCAGATCGATGGCCTAAATATATGAAAACATTAAATACGTAAGCTAGATGTCATGAAAAGATCAAAAAATCTTTATCTTTCTCGAAATAAAATCTTTTTAAACTTACATTTAATTTAAAAAATATTCAAAACTCTATTCGTCAAAATAGAAGCGATTAAATTTTTGAAGATTGATTTTAGCGTGATCATTCGTATATATTTTTATATTAACGTACCAAATATTACGTTCCGTTTAAAGCCACAAAATTCTATAAAAAAACTAGTTATATAAATTACCTTTTTTGTGGCAAAAAATATTAAAATGTAGAAAAATATTTGCGAAAAAGATTAAATGTAGAAAAATATTTCAAAAAGCAATTTATAAAATATTTCCCTCACACACATGTATTATATTTCGATTGTAAAGTATTTGAAATATAAATTTAATCGCAATCACACAATTAGATTCAACGTTCAAGACGAAGATTGCAAAAACGCGAAAATAGATAAATAGTCCGACAACGTACCAGTGAATTGCACTTAAGTCCGCATCCGTCGGCTTTCGGTTGCCCGGCAATATCGCGGCCACTCGAGGGCCATCGAGATTTCCGAGGCTTTCTCATAGCCGATGGGGATGATTTGCCCATCTACGAGACTGCGATGAGACCGGAAACAAGAACGAGACGCCCACCCTTCGTTTCAGACCTGCTGATATTCCTTCGGCTTGCTCCTCCGCTTCCTCTTTCGCCTTCTCTCTTGCCCCTTTTCATTCGCTTCTCGACATTTTTTCATATCATATCATACACCGATCTTCCACTCGCGCTTGAAAAGTTACGAAACGCGATATTAGTTTGCGCTAATTTTTTACTATAGACAATTCGTATTTGCGTTTATATAAGAAAGCGATTTATGGAATCGCTCAGAATGCTCGGATATTGAATTATGTTAGATCTGCTCGAGCGCTTGCAAGTTATATTTAATCGCTGTATAAATTAGTAGCATTAATAAAAGAAAGAAATAGACCGGCAGAAAGAAATTTATACTCACCGTGTTAGCTCTCGCGCTCGAGCAGCAACAATTAGAGAATTATCGATGATTCGGCACTTAGTTAGGGGATCTCGATTTGACGATTAATGTTATTCGATGCAGTATGAATGTGAGGAGGTACTCGTTGAATTTCGCACCTCGTCCCACCCCTCGTGGTCGCGATGGCAAGGAGCTGATACAGTGTCCCACGTCGTCCTGTGATGGCATGGGTCATGTTTCAGGGAACTACGCTACCCACAGAAGGCAAGGCATCGACATTTACACCAAGACTTTGACGTGAACGCTCGATTATGTATATATCGATATGGCGATGCAGCACGCACGCACGCACGCTACAGACACGCACACGCATCTATACATCTATACGTACAGATAATTAAAAAATTTAATTAAATTTATATCTGAGTTTACTGGTTTTCTTTGATTCAGCAAGGGACCCTTAATCAACGTTTTTATTTTAAAACAGTAGATGTCCTGAAACAAACACACACACACACACACACACACACACACACACATATATATATATATATATATACATACATATACGCAACTATATATATAAATACAAATGACATCAAGTAAATTTGCGAATTACATTTACATGGATGGTTCTTGCATCGATGCATATTGATGGTCCGTGGCGTAGTTGCTTCTTAAGTGTATTGCGATACGAAATATACATCTAGAAATTCTATCTTCTTCTAGTTGAACGGTTGAGTTGTACACTTGTTCGATATTATGTTGCTACATATATCTATATTTAACATACGTGTGAATATCTCCAGTGGTATCATAGCTCTATCTTGCATATAAGTATATACGATATATAGTCTTTATTTTTCTCTATTACACAATTCACCTCTCTTTCTCTTTCCTCCTCATTTTATTCTCCTACGTATCTACGTTACATTATGCGATACCAAAAGTGTGTAGATGAGCCTCGTAATTGAATGAACTCTCTTTCTTTTTCTCCTCGCTGTTTTTACCCGACCCCTACGAAAAGGGATGGCAAAATCAAAGTCCGGCATTGCGAAGAAATCGGCATTGTGAAAGATCGACCTGCTTTCGATCGCGAGACTCATTCGCTTTCGTGCGCATACGTAGTGATTAATCAAACCGACTAAGCCGTCCGTTGAAAGCCGCTTTCGCCAGCCTCGTGTGGGCAGCTTCGTAGCGAACTGTTGCCGATGACCATGTCATAGCAGAACCGTAACGATCAAAGGTACCACGAAGCGATGTGACGCATTTCGTGCAAAGTCAATTGGCAATTGGCGAGTTTCATTGGGGTCAGGTGTGAGTGTGCTCCCCGCTCTCCCTTTCGATGTTCTTAGAGTAAGACCGATCTTGGATCAGTGCGAGTCCGAAGCGCGATTGATCTTACGAGCGACACCTCATGAGTGATCCAACTGGAACACGGCGTTGCCATTTGCATGCTATCAACACGATCCGCCCCCATCATCGATCATAATCCGCGCGACATTCGAGGGCGTCCTCGGAGAGCGTAAGACTCGGAGCTTCGATCGAGATCGATAATCGAACAATGCGAGTCTTAAGTCTCCCTTTCCCTGAATGTCTTCGTTCGAACTGGACGCAAGGCAAGTCGTCCGAAACTGAATCGTATTGAAACCAGTGCTGATTCGCTGCACTGATCTCGGTGAGCCAACGTCTCTCTTGACGCTTCACAATGATATATATAAACATATATACACGTATTTTTTATAGATCATAGCGATGATTAATTATTAATAGCAATATATTAAACCGGTATGTTGTATCACTCGTATGATACGTAACCGATTCCGATCGCTTCAGCGAACGAGATGTTCGTTACTCATCGAGATCTAATTGCCGAGACGTGTTTGATCGTCTTCAAGTTCAACAGCTTAGATCATCATCAAGTGAGTACTCACGACATCGTGGCAACGTCGCGTAAATTGCATGCGATGTGTTGCTGAAACGATGGTTGGACGTTTCTGAGGTGTGCGTTCGTGAACCGAAGCCATGAGGATTAGCGCGTTGCAAAACTTTATAATAACTGTAACATTATGTAATTATAGTAGTAATCGAATTTTCGAAATGGTAATTTTTTGTGAATCCTCAAAACATGCAGCGCGCGATCTTCATGGGGTTTTTGCAACGCGTTAAAATAGAAGACTCTTCTTTCCTTTACAGCCTCTCTGGATGTCCACGAGCCGATCGCTCGCAAATCCAGGCGCATTCCCAGGAGCTCAAGTGTCCTACACCAGGATGCGATGGTTCTGGACATGTCACGGGAAATTACTCGTCGCACAGAAGTTTATCCGGCTGTCCACGAGCCAACAAGCCGAAGAGTAAGCCTCGAGATGGTCAAGATTCTGAACCCTTGAGGTCAGTTGGTGCGAATTTTAATTATACATTCTCCATTGTACTTTTTTTTTTCTGGGCAACTAACACGAATCAACTATGTTTTCCATTTTTCCTATTAAGAGATATCCTGAATCATACAAGATCCTTCTTAATTGTGTTGGTTTTTAATGAGCGATACTAATTGAATAACCAAAAAAATATGTCGTCGATATCTTCTTAATTATATTATACAAAATCAATATCTCAAAATATATTTGGCGAATCAAAATTAAATTTTTTATCAGTTTATTTTTAATTCTTGAGAAATTATTCCGAGATTTTTTATTATCACGAGATTTTTTTTCTTTATTATTCTTGTAATATTAAAAAAAGCGTGATAAATTAAATGACAAACATAAATTAATATGATAAAGGCGTGAGTTTCGAAAAGAGCGAGGGCTATCGCGAGCTCGATATAGGATTTGGTTCACGATGCGATTACATCTCGCAAGTTCTGCAATTTGAGGGTGCGGTAGTAATCGCGATCTCAATTTGCGTTTTCGTCGCGTTCGCACGTTGCACGTAGCAACTAACGCAGGTATCTTCTCGACCGCATTGCACGTACCGGGAGGCTGTCGCTTTAGACCGGGAAAAGGGGAAATCCCGTTCCCTTCTAACCGCATCCTAACTCCTTCTCCCCACACTTCGCGCAAAGGCGAAGACGCTGACTAATAACAGGCGGTTTCCGCTCGTTTCACGCTCGCTCTGTGCGGATGGATTATGTGGTGTTGGTGACGTTGGTGGTGTTGGCATTTTGGACTACAGATGTCCAATCCCGGGTTGCGACGGGTCCGGCCATGCCACCGGCAAATTCTTGTCGCACCGCAGGTAAGGCTCGCAGGAACGTTTCACGTTAGCGTGAATCTTGTCGTAGGATAATCGCACGCAATCCTTCTGACAATTAAACTTGTCTAGTTACGATAGTTATGATTGAATACTTTTGTTAACGTTATTTTTTACGTATATTGTCAATTTATATATTCAAGTTTCAATCGTAGCTTATTAAAGGCATCGATCTATATTCGATAAATATCAATTAAATCAATATAAATTAAATTATATGCATATATCTTATGAAATAAAACGATCGTGGTTATCATTCGCATTTGTTACATTATTCAATCTTGGTAACACATAATTGAATTTAACAATCTGTCTAATGTTTATCTATACATATTACGTGTAATCATTATACATTTTATATCTTTATTGCAGTGCATCTGGATGCCCAATCGCAAATAGGAATAAGATGCGAGTACTGGAATCCGGTGGTACGGTTGAGCAACACAAGGCGGCCGTAGCTGCCGCAACGGCCATGAAATTTGAAGGTGTCAATTGCCCCACACCCGGATGCGATGGACTCGGTCACATAAACGGATCTTTCCATAGCCATAGGTCCTTGTCGGGCTGCCCGATAGCCAGCCACGCCGTGAAGAAACCAAAACCAGAGGATAATATGAGCATGTACAGCAGAGGAATCACCGGTGAGGATCGAGTTGCCTCTGATGATGACGCCACCGGTTGTCGATACTTAACGATCGAAGAATAAAATTGTCAGAATACGCTGTGCGTGAGACCAATCGTATTACGAGAAATTTAATCGAACTTTAATCAAAGAGCGTTCGTAAGCTCTCTCTTCTCATGCGCAGCTGCCAAAATTTGAAACCGCGAAGATGCGCATTTTCTTATCAACGCGCGATAGAAAGAGAAAATGTTATAGAGTAGATAAGGCAGTTTAAATTCGCTCTGTTCTTTTCTATATGCTTGCGCTCGTTCAGGGTTAATCGTCTCGTTAACATTCACTTTTATTTCAAAGTTGTAGAAGAAAATGACACCGCTATCGCTGTGTAAAGAAAGTAACATCGCTACCGCTTTCCGTAGATTGATTGACGTCTGGACGAGCGCGATGCTAAAACATACGGAATTATGTATCTTTCTTTGTAAACTTGTGCATATCTAACCTTGTACTTGATCCCGTGCTATGCCATACTCTGCTCTTCACGCAATGATGTGCTGTCATACCAATGAGGGTCCTTTTTCCTCATCCTTCCGTTTTTCTTGACCATCAAAAGAAAAAAAAATTCGTTCCCTTTTATTTTTTTTTTTTCTCTTTAAATATTACTTTCCCGTTTCGACCTCTTTTTTATTCTCAATAATAAATGTTTCTGGTTTTCGAATAAAATATCGCGACTGATTAGATATAACAAATAAATAAAGAAGAAATAATTTATGAAAAAATGAAGAAAATAGAAAGATAGGGAGCACTAGAATCGCGAATATAACGGCGTTAATTTACGTCTCATTTTTTTTCCTTCCTTTCTCGATTCGGTCCCGCGCAGGAACCTCTTCCTTCGTTATGTACAAGACATGTAAAATCAAAAACAACCTATGTCTTAATGATGAAAAATAATATATTCTGATTTATTCTGGGATCAGCTCCTTTCATGTTGAGCTTGGAGCACGGTTACTTTTGAAGGTAAGGGACTGACGTATTCGCCACTTGTTTCCTATGTGTTTTCGGTGTTACATACAGAATCCACACACCAGTATGTTTACTTTTACGAGATGACGTCCGAGTGTTGGCAATATTTGTAAAAATGTATATACCTCTCTGGCACAATAAATAATTATAAGCTTCTATCTCTCGTCCATCCGCAATAAAATAAATATCAACGCCAGCACTCGGTGTCTTCTATATTTTTTTTTTCTTCTATCTGGTATGATGGCACCTCACGCTAATTCCCAAAACACCCCGACATTGTCCCGATCATCCCACGGCACTCCTGTCAGGTTCGTGCGTCTCTTACCGAGTCGGAGCACACGCTTGATCGAACGAGTCTCAAAATGTCTCTCGCTTTTCTGCCGAGATGCGTATATCACTTTGGCACGAACCGTAAGCAGAAGAAACCGTACCGTCCCATTATCTCAAGACAAGCTACATTGCAGTGACTTGGGCCGAGCGAAGTGAAAGGGTGGAAAATATGTATAGCGGATTTTTCGGCCACTTTATTCCGATCTAAGATCGCAATTTTCACAAATCGCATCGCCTAAGTCGCTGCCTGAATTGATCCTTGACATAATGTAAATGCTCGCTACATCTCCACATGTATCGCGTAAAAATCCCGCAGATCTATTCGAAATTTTTCAATCTGATGCTTCTTAATCGTCATTGTTTAAAACAAAAAAAAAATAAGGAACGCCAAAATGCTTCTATCTAAATACGTAGAGTTATACGAGCTTTCGTCGAATTAGGGGATTCGAATCGTGCCGGTTTCCAGTAGTTTTCCCAACTGTTGAGCCCGACAGGGCTGTTACGTGTGTTATCGCATTGTGATGATGTTTCCGCGAGACTAAAGAGATCAAATAGAGATGTAATAAGTCGTCTGCTTAACCGTGGGAAAATAACTTTTTGGAAACCGGGAAATACGATTCGTTTTCGATCGTAACGTGACGGGCACCTTATCAAACTGGACCCTGTCTGTCCTGTCCTCAGGGTTGGAAGCCGGTGGTCCGGCTCACGGGGGTGCGGTAGGCACGGGTCAGGGTAACTCGAGCGGTAGCGGGACCGCCGGTGCCGGGGGCGAGGATCTCTACACACTGGAGGCTGAGATCACGGAGCTCCAGAGAGAGAACGCCCGGGTCGAATCGCAAGTCTTGCGCTTGCGCTCGGATATTACCGCCATGGAGAATCAGCTCAAACACGGTGATAAGGTCAGTCTTTGCTCAGTCGGCAGCGTACCGTGTGTCGAATAGATACCTGACAAATTATTAAATGTAAAAAATAGATATTGTTTAAATATTTGTATATTGATTGATTGATCGTCAATTAATTCGCAATCATCGCGCTCATGCCATCATATCTTTCCTAAAGTTTAATTATACTACATATTATGCAATTATTACTTATTATAATATTATTATAACAATATAATTATGCATTAATGAAATGTTTCTTTTCAGAAATCATCTCTGTTTTGTTTATAAAATGATATGTTGTGATATGTTCTATTAACCATATGTTGATATCACATATCTGAAATAATTTGCGGTCAATCAATCAATTTCACGTGACGTATGTTACAGAAAAAATTTTTGCATTTTTAACTAACGAGTTTACTGTAAATTTTTCAAATGCAAATACTTTTACTGCATCTATATCAAAGAAATAATCTACTATAAATTACTTGTCAGTCTCGTTAGTAAGTACGGTTTCTTCGAAACCGCGCGTTTTCGCAGACGCTATCATGCGTGCGCTCTGGCATATGATAAATACATTTTGTTTGCAGGAAACGTCATCGATAAGCCAACGCAACAATAATCTGACCGAATACTATCAGTCGCTGCGCGACAACATGATCACCCTGCTGGAGCAAGTGCGAATACCGAACGCCCCGGGCGGGCCGCAAGAGAAGATAGGCCACGAGAACTTCGACAGTTACCTGACGAAGCTACAGACTCTGTGCACCGCCGACGGCTACTGCGCCGACGAGAGCAACCGGCCGATTTACGAGACGGTGAAGACCGCATTGCAGGACTTCACGGTTCTGCCGACACCCATCTGAGACCATCCTTAAAGACCGACGATCAGATACTGAACGTCGCTCGGAACTCGCGCGAAGAAACCGATTCGACGACGGTACCCTTCGTGACGATACTCTTCGTGGGGATCGCAGTCATTCCTTCCTCCCGTTCACACCGGATGCGAATGAACGATGCCCAGCAGCCCTTTCCCTTCCCACCCGAAGGAAAAACTGCGTCGATGACTGAGCTCCGCGGATCGGCCTACGGACTTGGGAGAAACCCGACTTCGTGATGCGCGATTCTTATCCGGACGCTGAGAAATCTGCCAGCGTGCGTCATACATCGTCTGCGTGAATTCCGGACTATGACGTCATGCGACGTCAACCGCGATCACGTGTGACGTAGGTGAAAGTCGTCGTGGCCGGTCGAACATGATCGACCGGCGTATCGTATGGGGCTGTTAACGCTAGTAAAAAAAAAAAAAAAAAACGCTACAATAACGGCATCTAAATCGGATAAGAGCTCCACGAGCGTTCATCCGAGCTAAGCTTAACGGACTATTATTACGGGGGCGACGTTGCTCATATAGCGCGATATCTTTTGTACATAATGAATCTGCGTCAAGAATCACACGGCGGCCGCTACCGCCACGCATATGTACATACACACAACGGGAGAAATGCATTTATATATTATTCGACAGGTTGGTGGTTATATTGCTCTAAGTCGTGTAAAAAAAAATGATTAATTTAGCTGTATATCGGACTCTTGCTACACACTTATCGCTGTGTAACTGTGTTATTACCGTTTAAGCGATCAGCGCGCGATTTACGAGGACCGGTTCACGGTCCACCAATGACGCTTTTGCTGAACCCTGAAGATTACTTATAAATCAATTTATCGGCTAACTATTTACCAGCTAGTCACACTATTATTATTATTATTATTATCATTATTATTATTATCATTATTATTATTATTCTCATTAATACTACTACTATTATTACTACTACTGTAACTGTTACAACCAGCTGGATCGTTTTTAGCGACTAATCCAATCGTCATTATCGCTACCACTACTCTTACTACTGTTAATAAAGTATAGTCACGAGTGTATACCAACGTATTTATATAATATTAACGAGTCTACGAGAGAAATGTGCGACGCGTTGTCCATATAGGCTGTACATAGTCACAGAGATATACAATTACTATAAGAACAAGAATCGCTGGCGATAATGAGCTGCGATTTCAGAGGGACGACGAGAAAAACAGAGGGAAAGAGATGTTCGCGAGGTCGTGCGTGGCTTCTTCATCAACAGATGTCAATCCTAAATATTGTCGAATTTATGGCTGTCCGAGGTGGATGATCGAGCCTCGATCGTTTTGCCAAAGAGGCAAAGAAGGATCGAGCTTCGCGTTCCTTCAGTATACAATGCGACCAATTCGGTCGGAGAATATTCGTTCGTACGTGCAATAATTTCCGAATGCGTCGCATTCTCTCCTGTATATTCGCGGTTACTTACATACGTCGTGTACATTTGCATCGGCGCATTAATTGTTATTGTTTCGTTAATCTATTTCTGTTCCTGTTTATTATATATGTTTGTTTTGCTATTGAAACGAGAAATGCGGGGAAATTACAAGAATTTGTAAATATATCGAAAATTCTTCGCTTTGAGTCATACGAGTCACCGCTTCTCGTTCAAACTGCATTAAAATAATTTTATTATTATTATTGTTATTATTATGGTATAAGTCAGAAACATCTCCGTTTTGTCGCTGGTTGACTTTTTACACCTAGGTGTAAATCGATCGACATAAATGCAGAAAAATTTTAATACCATTAACAGTACAATGCATAAAAAATGAAGAACATGATTATAGATTCCTTGAAAGAAATATAAATATAAAAAAGTATCTGTTAATGGTGTGCTTGCGAATTATTAAAAGATCTACCACATGTATTTATTAATAATCAACATCAGTTGTCCTGCGGAGGACAAGTGCTCCCTATCAATATATCATAACATATCTCAGATATATTTTTAATATTTATTTCTTACACATTCTTATTTCCTTTCACTAAACTCATCATCATAAAATAGCAGACATGTCGATCGAATAATCAATGATTGCTGACATAAAACTATATTATGTTAAAATTATATTACGTTCGCTATACAATTATAGATGATGTATATAAAAAAGAGAAGCAGTTACGAAAGATTAATTAATTGTTTGTCTGAGAGGCTAATGAGATGGGGAAAGCAAGAAGGAGTAAATATACTTTAACCAAACCACCGTGTAGTGAGAGTAATAACAAATTAAAGATAGTCGATCGACAAGTACGAATAATCTTGACGTTATAATTATTCTTGTCATTATCATTGTCGTTATAATTACCATTGTCATTATTATCATCAAGCAATTTTTTTATTTCGCGTTAGCATAATTGGCAAGTAGGAAGGAGGGAGCGAGAATGAGAAAAAAAACAGATAATCAACAATCAACACTTATTACATTTTAACTATCTTACCTCTTGTTCCGTTCTAATACGAGTAATATATTGTGCAATATTTATTATTGAATCGTCATTATCATCTACTAGTCCCGATCATTAATGCTATTATTATTATTTCTGTTATTATATAATATTATTGTTTTATTACTATTATTATGATTGCTATTATTATGATTACAACTTATTGTCACTACTCTCATTATGTTTCTGTTACTATTTCAATTATAATTGTTGCCGTTAATGAAAATCTACAAGTATATAAGTTCAATAACATGCTTTAAGTAAGTATAAATGTTACTCCGATTGAATAAAGGGTATTTATCGATGAATATTGATCATTTCTCCCTCATATATTCCTTGCATATACATAAAAAATATACGTTTTCTGTGCATTTGATAATAAAATGCTTGAAAATAAAATATTACGCGAAAAAATAATATGCAAAGAAAATGAAAGTTTAATAAAAACACAATAACTTTATCAATATACTTTACAAAACGCATACTTTATATTTGCATTATTAAAGTATGTAAAATAGTAAATAATAAGTTTTCCTTGTACGATTTGAGATCAGTAGAAAACAATCGTAAAAGGAGGATGTGTGAAATAAAAAAGATTCACATAGAAAAATCTCATATTCTCTATTTGCATTTTTGTTATAAAAAAGTCTTATTTATAATACAAGCATCGTCATTATATTCGACAGTGTTCCTTCATATTATCTATACGTATATACGTATAATATAGTATAATATATCACAATAAAATGGACGTGCGAATGGTTTTCGCAAGAGTGTACTGTGCACGTGTGTGCGTATTTATAAAGAAACAAGATACTGAGATGATATGACAGAAGATCGTTTTATCAGTAAATTATACGCAGCTGAATTTGCAACGCGCTAAATGCTCTATTATTATGATCTCTTTTCGGACCATAAGATGCGTTGAATACTCATCGTATTTATAATAGATTTCGACAATGCAACAATTCATTAGAGCTTTTTCATTCATCGTATATATAAAAGTGGATTTAATAATTAAGCTATTTATTCGGAAAATAACATAAATTTATAAACAACAATCTTTAATGTTGACATAAATTGATGCAATTTATGTATTTTAGCGACACATTTCCTCAATTTTATTTATATTATTTTTCAAGAACAATCATACATCAAATATATATATATATATATTGTAGAAATTGCATGATTGTTCCGTCAATTAATTTTAAGAGTACGTCATCAATCAGGTCGTGAGTCGAATCATTAAATTAAATGAACAATGGACCGTCAGCCGAATGTAACGAGTATTAAAAGTTGTTACTTTATTACCTGTTATAAAACGGCCAAACGTATCGACAGAAGTCGCGCGGACATTATGATATAATACATCGAGGAATATTCTCGTTGAGATTATCGAATTATATCAAAAATGAAAAAATATAATATATATATACCTCTAGCTTTGCAGTTGTGCATCGTGTGCTAGTACGTCAAGTATCATTTTCACCTTCTTACACACACATTATGAGAGATCAACAAATGAAAAAATGATGGGATTTGATGATGTTCACAATTCTTTAGGCCGTCGAGTAAATTCAGATATCGTCGTGATTGGTGAAGTTTGTTTAATAATTATCAGTTTCTTCCTAAATCATAGAAGTTATAACGTAGTTGTAAAGGAAGAATTAATCGTTCGAATAACGTTGGTACCAGCAACGTTCCACAATTGTTCACAATTAATAATCTAAATAATCGAGATGTCAAAAAAGAGATCCTTATTCAAATGTTGCTTGTGGAAATGTCGAACGATTTTCGGACGGCTCGAATCCCCCTTCTTCTCTTCGGCAAGATCATATTGTGCTATACAGTATTACGTATATGCTTTTTACAGCTATGTATCACGCATTTCGCAACGACGAAAGCAAGCAACGAAATCGTCATACGATAGTATTGTTTGCAATCTGCAACTTGATCGTTCTTTGTAATTGACGTCGGTTCTCACGTCGTAAACCTTCGTATTTATTGGTCTCTCTATTCCTAGCATCATAATCTCACCTGGAACAAAGAAAGATCGATTTGAAAAGTCTGACTTTTTAAAAAATTTACAGAAATATGTCATAAGTATTTGATAGATAATATTATTTTATTAACATAATAATTAATAAAACCTAGTATAATCTCATAATAAATATTCATAAATAGTTATAAAATAAAAATTAGTGCATCAACATTTTAGGACAAGGACAATTAATTTCATTGTATGTGATTTGAAGAACAAAAATATGTTTTACGTATAGACTTCGGATTCGATTAGAGACGTTTTTTCGTTATAAGACAACATTGATTATTCATGTTCCAAGATGTTAATACAGCATTCAGGAATTTACAAGTGGTCTTACCTCGCGTATGGCGGTGGCGGTGTTAGCGTAGGAGAAACGATACTGATGGTCGTTGGAATAATTTGTCCCGAGGATAACGGCGGCGTACTACCATTGCTCAACCTGATTAATTGACTAGGATTTAGCTTGATCGCATCGTCGTAGCTCGGCGGTGCGTCCGTCACTGCTTCGTAATCAGGCGGCTTCTGTCTCGACATACCCGAAGGCTCTTCGATGGAAATCACGTGAATTGGATCGTCGATCTTTAAGAGAGAAAAATAATCGATTGAATTAATTTCGAAATATTAATGGTATATAACTTTGCGTTAAAAACTTTGCTGCTTCAAGAATTTTTGAACATTAATTAATTTTGATCACTTGCCATTTAATTTAAGAGATAGTCTCACTAATTGGTTCCAAAAATTTTTGAGAGATTGCTAGTTTTTTAAAGATTAATGAATCATTGCGTCCTTCAATTAAGAATCTTCTGCTGTCTTATGACTTATATTTTGCAACTTAACTTCAAAAATTGTTTATAAAGTTTTAATTGAATAATTGAAATGTGAACGTGCAAGTTTGCCATTGTATTTTTAAAATTTGATGCGTCGTTTCTCAGCTTCGCTGATTGAAGGAGGAGAGCATTTAACTTCACGACTTCTCACGCAAAATTATATAAGTTAACAATCTTGGGAATTCCAAAGCCTTATATATAACTTCAATTTAAATCCGTTACGATTCAAAATACGCATCCACGGAAAAAGAACATATCGCATAGTTAATCGTTGTGGAAATATATCATCACCGGAGTCTATTTAAAGTATCCGGATCGACGTGCCGACCCCGCACAGTTCCCGCGATATTCTACGTGCCACGTTATAAGGATATTCACCCGGAAGTGCACATCGCGCTATATTCGTCGTAGGTCGTCTATAGATATCTATCTATATATTCCCAGCTTTCTCGCTACTCTTCGGAACATTGTGGCTGGCTTGAATGTAAGTCGCGAAAGGGCGCGCGCAAGATACATATAGGGTGACGCACGAACGCGCACGGTCGACGAAAATAAACGTGGCTATTTGTGGCGATAAAGAAAGCTTTGCTGGAAAATTGCATAATGAGTCTAAGTGGGAACGCGAGGTGAACGACTGTGACTCCGAAAGGCTCTGGTTGCACCAAATTCCTTCCTGGTAAAGCGTGCTCTGTTCAATTATCGCTGATTAATAAACGCAAGCATGACTTCGAAGATTCGGAGAATTGACACCAATCACATCCTATGCTTGTGTTTAATCAAACATATTAAATAACATGAAAATAATTTTCTTTGATGACACATATCATTTCATGTATCATTTACGTCATGATTGGAGCCTGAGAATAATGTGATGTCAAGTATGAGATCATCGCATCGTATGTCATCATATTTAATAATATTTCTATAATAATTAATTGATGTAACTAAATATGAAAGTAAATATTCAACAATAATGAATCTTGATTTGAGAGAGACTTTTGAATTCATGCGGAGAACTCTTCAGATATACGTTATTTAAAAATATGCTAAAAACTACATCTGTCATAGATAACATTTCAAATCTTTATTGCTCGAGTTCCAAAAATTTCTCAAATAATATGTCCATCGACTTCCTTCTCTAGAAATAACCTCACGATAAATTGATATGTTAAAGGTTATCTTGCTTCAAAGGGAAGATAAATTAATTATTAAACTAATTGATTTAATTGGATGTCCGAGAATAACACTATGTTTGTTGACTTGAGAAAGTCTACTTTGTAAAAATAGAACAGTTTTGTATGATAACAGAGTATAGTGGATATAATAGACACAATACGATGTCTGCTTAACAAACATACGTATTAAGATGTTTCTTTCAAGCAAGAAATAAACGTGTGTATAGTGAATTTAACTATAATTAATAGTTACAAACCGACACTTCAAAGTTCAAAACATTGTTATTTTGCGTCGAAACAAACTTCTTTCACGTCAATGTAAGAACTGCTATTAAAATTATAAGAGAGTAGAACAAATCCAAGGATAAGTAATAATAAAAATAGCTCAGTATATGCTTCCAGATAAATATTCTTACAATAGCAATCAACATTAGAGACTGTCATTATCTTTTTTACACGAAAGAACATATTCTTTTTTTGCATAAATAAATTATTTCGAAATTAGGTAGTTTTTTCAATAAAAGATCTTTGATTAATTTAGAATCAAAGTTTTCTTAATAAAAATGTCAATAATTTTCAAATTGTTAAATAAAGATTTCGACTTAAGACTTAAACTTCGAGCGTACAATCAAATGGATCATCAAAACTGCATTTTTTACTTTCTCAAAAATTCATTCTAAGGAAATTTTAACTCAAGATTCTTTTACAATATATAGTGTAAAATATTAAGAAACTACAATGACTTTCTGTAATTTCTTTTTTAAGAAGAAATATACTTCAAATTATAATCAAAGATTCTTATTAAAACCATATCTGGTAATTTAAGGTCGTTTTATATAGGTCATTCAACATGACAAAACATGAAGACCAAACAGATAGACATTTAAAAATGGATAGTTCGTTTATTTTACATGAAGAACATTTGTCGAGACAATTTTTTTTCTACGAAGAAAAATACCTTATATGGATTTAAAATAGTACGAACTAGAAAGGTAAGGAAGTAGAAAAAGAGAAATCGAGACGTTGCATACATAGAGCAAAAAAAAAAGATTAAAAACATTTACGATAAAGTTTTCCTTATACATGTTATACGACCATTAATTACTGTCAATATTGTGCACATTAAATATTAACGAGTATGTAAAATTCGCGCGCCAATAAACAAAAGAAAATAGCATGTAGTAGTCATAGCATGTCATGAAATTACTTTTAATGATAGTAATACCAATGCCAAGATATTATAGGTTGATTACGTAACAGTATGAATCATTCATTTCGATAGTATTTATTGTTGTAGCGATATGATACTAACTTACGAAAAGAATATGTTTTCGCTTCGAAGAAAGGAGAAGTTTTCTGTGAAGACATTCCGCAATATTTCCGTCACTCAAAACCGAAAGGAGGAAATTATAGTACTATGATGCAATCATGACTTCGCACCATTTTATAGATGACGTGACAGTAGTTCCGCGATGAGGATTTCTGCCTGCTTGAAATTTTTATGATATTCGCAAACATTAGGCGCATTTTGCCAGCGAAGAAATGCACGACGAATGCAGAAAGAGAGAGGGCGTATTTATCATACGTTGATGATTTATGAACATGCCACGATATATTATCTGATATGTATGAAAATATACTCTCTTTATCTTTCTTCTCCTATCTTGAGTTTTATTCCAGGAGAAAAAGTATAAGCTATACATATACACACATCGCGGACGGGGTATATTATTAAGCTTCTTCTTATTCTGCCCACCGCCGCTAGTAATTGTGGCTTATACTGCTAGGGTATATCTATAGATAATACGCGTTCTTTTGTAGTCTATAATAGGGGGTTGACCCGGATCGATCTAAAAACGTTTTAGACCAATCTCCGGGGGCCTTCAACCATACCGACGACCTGCATCTTTTCAAATCGCTAAAGAGACTTTGTAGAATCAATATTAATCGCCAATAAATCGTCCTAATATTAGCAATATTTAATAGAACAATATTTCACTCTTTCCAAGAATATTAAAATATAATTGTGCGAAATGTGTTGGTAAATTGACATCTTATTAAGACGATTAAATTCGCAGGAAATATGTGTTAATAATAAATAAATAAAGGAGAGATAAATATCTTATTGGCAAGTAAGAAATCAGAAGAAATAAATATTGCTTCTACGCGCGAAGGAAAATTATACATTTCTTTGAATCTTCTTTAAAGATTCTCTAAAAAAATAAACTTTTATTTTTACACGTAATTATCTTTAATCTTCTTTTAAGCTCCTTTTCTATTAATCAAATATGTTTATAACGATAAAAATAAGAATATTAATATAATTAGTTTAAAGATTATCTATATTTTATTTGTAAATATGTTATAACAATAAAAATAAGAAATAAATATCAATATAATTAGTTTACAGATTATCTATATTTTATTTGATCTATATTTTATTATCTTATATACATTCGAAAATGTAGTTTAGCTTGAAAGAGATTTGAATATCTAAAATAAAATTTATACTATTATATCTTGTAATTTTTACACACAAGTTGAACAACTAAAACAATGAATTATAAATAATTCGAGAACACTTTTTATTCCACTAAATTCAATGATTCTTCTCAGAATTACTTTAATAATCAGAAAATATGAAACACAAATATTAATCACTTTAAACATATGAAGTTTCATGTAATAAGGATAATTAAGGATAATTAATGAAGTCTTTCTACAGATTTGTAGAAAACAAGATTAATAGTCTAGGAAACCGACAAAACAAAAAAAAAAGAGTGAATTTGTGGTGAGTCTATATGTGTATGAGTCATAGTTACAATTCTTTGTGCTGACATAATTTTCCTTCGAATTCGTTTCAAGTCAAGCGCGAATTTTGTTCGCACGAATAAATTCGTTATCTCTCCACAGGTAGACAAATACGATAGTTACCTGTGCCGTGATCGGATGATTCGTGTGTTGCGTATGCGTGCTCGTCCTAGTTGGCGGTGCGTGTAGCCAACAGCACATCGCAGCGCAAATGAGGAGAGCCCCGGCAACTATGCAGGCGACACCGACGTAACGCACCGGTTCAACATAGTTCTCCGCCAAACCCAACCAGTTTATGAGAGCTCCGACGCATAGGAGAACCATACCGTATCGGTACGGGCGCTGCGATCTCCGAGATTCCTCCAAAGACATAGCTAAAAAAACATAAAATTGCTTATATACAAAAAATTCCTTCATACGCGTCATTTCGCAAAGATTTCTCGAAAAAAAAAAGAATAAATATTAATAAAACAGGTTAAGATAAGAGATGAAAAAAAATGTTTATACAGTATCGGAAAAAAACTCGATTGATTAGACATTATGATAAATAGCCTACGATAGGCAAAGTAACAGCGCTATCCATCACTTTATTCAAAGATAATGATATTTATGAATATGAATTGAATGTGGTTTCATTGAATATTGAATGATGTTAGCATAACAGCTGTCGAATGCTGGTGACGGCCTGGAAATTCAATAGCGCCTAAGTAATATTTAATCGAACGTGCGTTCCAATGCTGTGTAGAATTACAATTAAAACTATAAATTAACATAATTATCACACGACAATTAAAATATAATTGAATAGTGTAAATTTCCGAATAGTGTAAATTTTTACTATAAAATTTTAAGTTCTAAAGATAAAACAAAATAGAAACAGTTATTTAGCCTGATTCCACGATATTTAATATATAAATTGTTCTCTTCTATTACTTCTGATTCAACGATTTATAAAGTTCAAGATCAGTTATTATTTCTAGTTGAGTATTAAGCTTTCGAACCCATATATCTTTAAAGCCTGAAATGTCCGTTAGAAATTAGAGAAAGAAGATTATCGAAGATTTGTATGATTAATAACTCAATCGATAGGCGATCGATATATTTCATGGAATAACAGTAAATCATTTCTGTACGAAAGACTTACGCGTGTTTCTCGTTCGAAAGATGAGTCAACCATGTCACGTTAAGTTTTATTGACGCAAATTGCAATTTTATTAAGCAATGTTTGTGCTCATAATATCGACGAAAACAAAAAATTTTGTTGCAAGCATCTCGATAAAAGACATGCCACTTTCCAAAGTAGGCTTATATAAAATTTCATTACTTCACTTGACTTTGTGAATATCAGAAAGAGTGATAAATATAATGTCAAAAGAGTTAAGCGAGTGATAAATAAAGTCTTTGAGTTAAAATTAGCGAGTCGGCGCATTCCGATACATTTTTAACTTGTGAATATTTACTATTTTATTACTAGTATGACGTATTATGTACTTAGCAAAGGCACTGGCAATTGAAACTGTTAAATATAGAAAACGATAGAAACACACATTACACCTTTAAAATTTAGTAAGCTCACGTTGCTTGGTATAATAAATTTAAATTTTTTTTCTAAAAATAAAATATAAATTCATATATGTATGAGAATTTTATTTAAAAAACGAAGACACTCGCACTTCAACAATTCCAGAATTATAGTAAGATTTTATTACTTTAGCGTTGAAAATTGCTTTTTCACGAATCGATATTCGTACATAATGTCATGAAAAATACATAAATGACAATTGTTGACATATAATCCAAATTCTCATCATCGAATTAATAAGTTATTCAGGAACTCAATTCATCAGCTGTGCTTATTATTCTTAAATAATTTATCGGCTAGGCAGCTATAAATATTCTTCGATTATCTACAAAGTAGGCTACATGCAAATGATTATAACGCGCAGATAAGCTGTGTCAGCATTATGGAATGATCGATATTTGTCATATATATATTATTTTAGCAACAAACATAGTTAAATTATTAAAAGCATCATTTCGTTTTATACATTGTAAAAATAAAACGCGGAAATTTATTTTTGAAGCAAAGTGTTTTAAAAAATAACGTAATTACTTTAGATATCGCAGCCATAATTATTGCGGGTTAATTTTACTTTAATATCAATAATATTTAATATTTAATTTCACACATGATCATCAGTAACATTAATATTAATGTTATTAAAATTGTACTTAATTAATATGGATAATGCACTTTTAAAGTTGCCCGATTATGTGAATTAATTCAATGTTATCTCTGCCAATCGAATAGTTTATTTAATAACGCGATTTAAAATATCACTTCTTTTAGAAATATTTCTCTGCCATGCCACATTCTTCTGTCAAGAAGCTTTTAGTCTTCAAAACCGCGCAAGTTTGATTAATATAACATACTGTAATTAGTTTACCGAGGGACTCGTCCATGTTGTCGGTTACGAGAAATAATATGCCAATAACACAGCCGTTGTCTTTCGACTAGCAAATTTTCTTGACGACTAACATATCGCGCTACAGACCGCAGTATATAAAGCGACACGAATATAATAGAGAGAGATCGCTCAATTCCGAGCTGAGACGTATGATTGTACGATCTGTTTTTGAGTACGTCATTGAAATCGTAAAGATAAAGTCTTATTTTCGAATCGTTATCATCTCTGATCAGCTCGTCTTTAAACACATACATAAGAAGATACCGTAAAATTGTCTCATCGCCATGATACGAGTCTAAATGCGTTATGTGTGCAAAGAAGATACATGGCATTAGCTAGACTCCGTATGCGTGTACAAACCAACGCAATGACGCGGTCGTGAAATTAATTCCAATTTACATATATATTCGAAGCGACATTCAAGGACGTGACTTGTACTACGAACCTCCTCAAATAGCTAGACTACATTCAATAAAGTGCAGGATATTACTTAAACACAGTTTGTCCTGACGTAGATATGCTATATCTTGTTTCTTCTAAGAACAGAAGATTGTAGCACAGGTAATGTTGCACACTCTAAGATTTCAGAATCATCAAGAAAATTAATCAAAAATATGAATAAAAAGTGTGAATTATAGGCAGAGAAAAAGAGGAAATGCAATTAAATCTCATTTAATTTAGTCAAAGAAAAATGGATTTTTTTATGTTAATCGAAGAATTTTATAAATAAAAAGACTGTATAATTAACTTCGATCCTTGCAGTTTTAATTTTATTACAAAAGCAAAACAATGTTGCATATCACGGGTGTTGTCAGCAATTTTTTGCCTCTTACAAGTATATCGATTTTTAACCGCATAATATATGTAGTTATAGTGAGAATATGCAGAGTATTCCAAGGCTATTGGAATATGCTTTAACACACACTAGATAATAAAACTAAGAATATCGTGCATTATATAATAAACGTAACAAAAAAAACTTAAAAAATAAAAGCGTTAAAAAAATTATCACAAATACAGATAATAAAATATTTTTTTATTTAAAGCTTACAATTACTGTAAAAAGCTGTAGAAAGCTTATGTTAATAGAAAATGTACTGTAAAAAGCTGTAGAAAACTTATGTTAATAGAAAATTGATTACAAAAATTGTTTAGAAAGCTTCATTATTAATATATATTCGTAATTTGAAAATTCTTTGTTCAATGTACATATTTCATGTATTATAATTGTAATATTACATTATAACACAACAAATTCATACAACTCATTGTCATTTTACAGTAGACATGAAAATTGCATTTAAAAATGATAATATGTCACTAGAACAGCTGAATGTCTGTTTTCTATCAATGCTTAGATAGCATATGTTTTAAAAGACATTGAAAAAAGACAATTTAACGATAGTTTATCGTTCTTTAGGCATTTTTAAAATATTCTTTATTGCCTGGATATTTCATTTTATTAAAACATATTTCTTAACATATTTTTTGTCACACATACTGTCTTAAAATTTTTTGTCACACATACTGTCTTAAAATTTATTATAATATGCTAAGATAGTATTAATTATAAATAAGTTATATCAAGTGTAATACTTCTACACACAGATTTTAATCATTCTTTTTACTTAAAATGTATATCTGTGTTTATACGTGTCATAAGACTAAGTATGTAAGAATACATGATAGCAGAAATGGGGGAGCATGCAACGGTCAGACAGGTTTTTTGCTATATATGATATCTCTATCTCACTTGTATACGTGATACAGTTGCCTTGCTATTTTTGGAATAAACCGGTTGGTAATTTACAGCAGGAAGAACGGCTAGTCGTGAATATTATATATTTCAATCAGAATTATCAATGTAATAATGTATAGATTAGAAAATATTAATCTAATAACTAATAGCTTATAGATTTAGAAAATATTCATACATTATAATATGGCTTAATTTTGCTTAATTCGATTTATACTTGTTTTGATTATTACTTGTTTATCGTCTTGGTTATGAAACTGTAATTTTTTTTAATTGCAGTCTAATATTTATATTGTACTTTGAGAGAAAAGTTCGATTTAAATATAAATTCTATTAATTTTTATCCAAATCTAAATTCTATTGATATTTATTTTATTATATTTTTCACCAATGTGATATCTAAATTCTTATAATGAATAAATCATTGTAAAGATTTGAGAGTACATTAATATTAATCAAGATAAATTTTTATCGCGTTCAGTTTTTTAAGGTATTACAATTATTACAATTTTATTATTCAACCGAAGAATAGATTCGCTGATGCGGTCGAAGTTCTCTGACAATGCGCGGTTTTGACACTTTATTTTCTTAGTTTTTTTCTTGACAGTCGTAGATAATGATAACCAAAAGAGAAGATAACAAACAATGTTATTGCAATTATCAGCAAGTGGCTGTAGATTTGCATCGACGTAATGCTTCGCGTAAAATTATTATCTCGAATACGATGATCAAATATATTATCACACGATTTACATACAATGCATCGAATAAAATGTACAGAGCCGAGTGCATCTTACGTATAAAAATGCATGCTAATCAAATCTCAAAAAGATCAAAATATCATGCATTAAATATCATATAAACGTTAAAAAATTTAATAGCATTATTTGTACGTTTGTATTATTTATATTTGATTTTTGTTTAGACTTATATTTTATTTGTGTGAATAATAATATTGGATTTTATGTAAAATCTGAAAAATATTTATACATGAAATAGAAAAAAAAGAAATAGCATTTATATTAAAATATCAGAAAATATTATACATTGAGGAACAAGATATCCAAATTGCTGTACGATTCTAAAATTGAATTTAAATATACCTTTAAAAATGTACTTTATAACATATATTAAATATGAAAGAGTTAAACAAACAGCTTTTTCTTTTTTTGCTGGTTTATTGCTATCTATTCTTAAACTTATCACATGAAAGAAGAAAAGTACTTTATCATAAAGATTACATCTCACGTTCGTTCACATCACGAGGCATACAACGCCATATTTAGAGTAACATTAATAGAAATGACGAATATCAAAGACACATGATAACGCGCTTATCTAATTATTTATAGTGTGCAATCATAGCACATGAAAACATTTAACTGATAACAAGTTAGCATTTTTATTCTACAATAATTAAAAATGTATTATTTGATAATCATAATATAATTAAACCGAAATAAATATAGCAAAACAAACACAAATCAAAAAACGATAATATTAGTAACATAGCATTTATATATTATTAAAATTATATTATTGGTCATTATTAAAATTATATTATTATAAATAGTAAATAATATTTATATTATTATTCGATCGATTTAAATTAATAACAATAACTTAAACAATCGCTTTTCGCCAACGCAAAGCATCGTATTTCAAAATAAAGATATTTTTATCTATCTAGATAAAAAAATTCACTGATATATTTTTCATTTTTGCCATATGCAAGAAGTCAATGTACAGTCATAGTCGGTAGGTAACGTACTTCCCGGTGGTAAATCGATCCGCCTATACTTTCGTGCATTTTACATTTTATCGAAATGGCTTCCTAGACCGTGTGTGTGACGCCCGGATCTCTTCTATATTTACACGTGCGTATGTCACGTTTCGCATGTCGGTCCCCCATAAGCCACAAGAAAATCAATATAGGCGCGACTCTTGCATCAACGACTAGCCGACAGCATATGGCAATGCAATTGTTAGATGATTACCTGTCGCTTACATGGTTTGACCTTAACCCGGTTTCGCACCTTGCACACTTCGAATACGGTAGCAGTAGATAAGTAAATGATAAATTGACTTCACGCTTACGAAGCTGTCGCATAAAGGCAGCTAAAATATCCGTAAGACTAACTTTATTTTTACTACTGTCGTCGCCTACATTTGCATTCTGGCATGATTGATTCGAGACGCGATTTACGTAATTTCTTTTCTCATTTTTCTTTCTTTTAATATCATATGTATAAAAAGAAAACAATTATATCTGTCATTCTTGCTAAGATAGTACTAAACGCGTACGCGTTATATATAAGGTTTGAAAAATTTAAAAATAAAAAGATACAAAAAATATAAATAACATATTTCTGATTTTTAATTTTTCTGAAATTATTTATAAACAAATGTGTGATAAATGTTTGATAAATCTTTTTTATTATTTTTTGCACATTTTATGTATATCTAACTCCTGTAATTTTTACAAGAGAATTATTAAAATAATTCAAATATAATTAAATAAATATTTCTGAGTTCTATAAATACATTTCTTTTTGCACAAATAACAGTAGAAAAGCATATATCATTTAAGGGACTGAAAGTCACTATAAATATGATTTCTCGATAGCATTCAAATTATCATATGATAAAAAGTTTTTATCATATTCCGTATTTAATTACATTACGCGAAGCTGATCAATTACAAAAAAATTCAATAAAAAAGAGATATAGACATTCATCATGGACTGCGTCATTGATATAATGTAAGTTATCGCGTCTGCATAGACTTAACATACTCGTGTCATAATTGCAAATCTTTTCAGTTATTTTACTGTTAAATTATTCATATTTCAAACGAAATCATAAACTGAACCGTGGAGTTAAGAAGATAAAAATAATAGGAGACGACATTTGAAGATATTCACTTCTAAGAATCTATTTAGTTAAAACAAATTTTTGCACTTCTATTCTATTCTAGTGACATAATCTTTATTTAATCATGCGCGCGAATTATATTTAATTTACAAATAAAATTATCAAGAGTATCGAACAAGCATTATTCAAATGAGCAATTACAAAAGAAATTTATAAATATATAAAAATTATATTAAAATATTGTATTAAATGTATTAGTAATATTACTTAAAGATAAATTTAGTATGTAATCTTCCCAATGGAAAATAGATACATCTGCGATGTGCAGATGTCATGCGCTACATATGTTTACAATTCGCGTGTTATTACATTTGTAAAGCATAAACGTTATGATAAGAAGATTGCAAACATTTTTTTCTTCATGAACACATCCATATTTTTTACACTTTAGGATTCTTACGTGCGTTCATGTCATATTATATATCAATATTTTATAATTAATATGAGATTTTATATATATATATATATATATATATATATATATATATCGATAATACACCTCCACGTGATTATTCAATTAGCAAGAATTTTGAAGAACTCATTTATAAGTCGATCAATATCGATATATTGTACTATATATTCATGCAAGTTATAAACATATCTAAATTTTTATCATAAAATATTTAATATGATAATATTAATTTATATCTAAATAAATTAATATAATTAAAATAAATAATTTTGCATAATATAAATTTACAAAGTTTTCCGAAAAATATTATATTCTTTAAAAAATATGATACACTTTAATTTCATCATTAATGCTCATTTATCATACAAAGATTATAAAACTTGTACAATCTATTCTGTTCTGATAAGACTTCTGATAAGATATGTAATTTTTATGTGCGGACGAAGAAAGCATTTAAAAAAAGATAAACAAAGAGAATGAATGACATAACGATAAAAGTGGAAGTGGATTAGTTCTCTGTGTGTATGTTTTATTAAAAAATATTTTCTCAACTTTTTATTACAATTACATTTTCGCTTTTCTTGCTTTCTTTCTCGTATAATTTTTTTAAGATCGTGTTATTAAATTTTCAATAAACAATCCATATTCAAGATTATAATCTTCTAATAGAAGATATAAGAGTATAATTATTTATTTTGATAATTTTAATTATCATCAATAGAAATATACGTTTTTCAAAATGACGAAAAATACAAATAACGTATATTGACATAACAAGATTCCAGTATTTATCGTCATCAAGATCGCTAAAATCGAGAAAGTATTTTCTCTTACTTGATCTAATCTCCGTAGTGCTGTGAAACTGTTCGTTGCCGAAACTATTGGCACGCACTAATCAAACTCACTGAGTCCTTGATTGTTCGTAGATCGGTTGTCGTTACTCTTCTGTGCATTGAAAGAGCTCTATAGCTGCTCTATTGACGCACCAAGAGAACGCAACTTCCACGTAGAGGACTCGACGCAGACTGACGCAGCGACCGTCCTCGCGGTCTGCCTAACCCACGTTGCCTGTTTACGCAGTCAGGCGCAGGCGCAGACTCAGGTATACGGCAGGTATACGTATCATTGTGATGTCAACATAGCTTACAGCAGTTTTTCAAACATATAAAATAAGTTGTTTTGTACAAGCAGTGTTTACTTTTTTTTAGGCAACTCAATAACTTTCTATATAACGTTTAAATATTTAAAATTGATTATTTCTTTTCAGGCACGTACATAATAAGGAAAGTGATATGAATTTAATTAAATATATAGCTAATTTTAATAAATAATAGTATTATTTTATATGTTATGTCAAATAAAAGTGTTAAAAAATGTAATACAAAATAATAATATAATGCAAAATAAAACAAATAATTTTATCGATCCCTAGATTTAAAAGGATAAAGTAAAATTATTAAATACATATATAATCCAAACATTTTCTCTTATATATCTTCTATCAAATATGAGAAACTATGAGCTGAATGGATTTCCATATCAATACATACAATTATTGCACATATATCAATATATACACAATAATATATATTTCTTATGTAATTGAATTATTTTACAAGCAATTTATGGCCATTCGTTGAAATTAATCAAGAATTATTTAATCAAAATGAATTTCCTTATTGGTCTTTCGTCAGAACATATTTTCCGAGGATAAAAGTCTTATTACATACAATCTTGACTTATTGCTTAAGATACACCAAAGTTATGGAAAATTTCTATAACGATGCGCAACAAACTGGAAAATGAATAATTAATTCAATACCGAGAATTGACAGCATCTTGCGTTGCAATCGAAAATATTGCAAATTTCTCTTTTATATCTAAACAATGTACAATTAGCGCATTTGCGCTGAGACAGATCTCGAAACTGGATTTATTTATATATCAAATAATACACTTATACCTAGCTCAATTCATAGGCTTTGAATCATTTATATGATTAATACCAATATTAATACCAATATTAACAAATTAATGTGAAAGGTAAAAATTAATGTGAAAGGTAAAAATAAGAGTATTTTAATTAGTAATAAAATTAAGGTGGAAAACAAGTTATTAATAAAATCTTAGTGAAAACACATACGGTGTTATATCGTGTGTTTTTATATGACGAAAGTGAAAAGATACGTAACGAGAAAAATATAACAGGTAAGTCTTTAAAAAACCAATTCTAATCTATTTGTAATCTATTCATAATTGATCGATAAACTGATTTTGTGAACCGATAGATAAAATGTTTCTTTATCTAATATCTGTATCATTAATCGCTTGTGACGGAAATCAAAATAAGAATAGATTCATAAAAATTGGACTCTTACCTAAATGTAATTCCCTATTATTCAGAGAAGAGATAACGATTTATGTCTCACCTGTGATAATTAAAATTGAATAGCTAAATTAATGTATTCATTTCTTCAAAACATTTCTGGTATATTAAAATCGTAATATAAAATATTGTATATGTTGAAAAAAGTTTTAAAGATCCATACATAATGTAATTTCATAAAAGATCTTGCTATGGAAAATGCAAAGATGTCAATAATTTTGCAATATACAATTAATATTATTATTGATCAAGAATAACATTTATGTGGAATATAAAATTATAATATAAAATTTGTAATGTACTAAATTATAAAAAGAAATAAATATTAAATTATATAAAAAATAATAATAATAAATAATCTCTATGCTTACAGTATCTCTAATATATACTTACAAGTTTTCAGCGTTATTCTTATATAATATTATGTACTTATATTTTGTTTGTACGATATTATGTATAAATTTATGAAAAAAAAAACAGAAATAATGAATTTCAGAGATCAAAGAATAAATTTAAAAAATGTTTTTAAAAAATTTGGCTTAAAAATAATATAAAAATAAATCATTATTTCGGCAATTAAGAAATAAAATATTTCAAATAATTTTAAGATTATATTTTAAGATTATATTGACGATAATATTTTGGCAATAAAAATTATGAAGTGGTTTGATAATATTTCAATCTGTATATAAATACTTCAATTATTTATATAAAATGGGTCACAATTTTAAATTGTTTACCTGTAGATAAAGAATAGATTATGAAAAAGAGGGATTATGTATATACATATAATGTTAATGCTATTATCTCTATTTTTTCCAAGTGGCTTTCTGATACAAGAGATATCATCAATATATCTTCGGCCAATGATATCATAACTGATTCTGGAAACTACGGTGACTAATACAGAAAAATTAAGAAACTACACAATTCTTATACGATATTTATAGAAAATGTGCGTTTTTAGATCAGACGCTTGATTGCATAAATAACTTTTATAACTAGAAAGAAAAAAATACTTTTTCAATAAATTAATTAAAATTGTGAAACATTTGATGATACTCTTTCATACTTTTCTTGTTTTATAAATTTTTACAATTTGCAAAATTTTTATTATTCGCACGTTTTATACAATTTATTACAAATTAGACAAAACATACATAACGTCATAGAAAAAAATTAATATGTTTTTTATATAAATACTCTGTATAAATCACTGAGAGAAGTATCTTTAGTGTTTTCAAACATTTCTCTTGTTTAATAAATTAATTGGTTTAATATTATCATTTAATATTATCGTTCAATTATATCTTCTGTTTACAGAATTTATTTTCTACATTCGCGCCACATAATATATTGTTATTCATATGTAAAATATTAGATTAACAAGTAGCAGAAAAGAAGTAAGAACAGTGAACACCGATTGCCAAACAAATTGTGCGTAAAATTGTCATTCTTCACACATTCCCCCTTTCTCTTAATCTCATTCATCTACCAAGGCCATCCAGTTTTAAATGCAGAATCATTCATCTTCTTATAGACGTCATTTAAATACTTATAGATCTTCGTACTTCCTGCTGGTTCGTAATATGTTCTAAATAATCATTTCTTTCATTATTCATTCTTACATCGCTTTCCAAATATAATCACGTATGCATTAGTTTGACGCAATCAGTATCGCTAGTGTAATTTTTTATAATTACAATTTAGCTCGTCGACTTTGATGTATAAAAAATATTTCGTATGAATATTAACTAGATATAAAATTGTTAGACCGAAAAGTACATAAAGAATACATTTTTCAATATTTGGAACATAGAGTCTTTGATTTATATACATAAAAATAAGATTTTTTTAGAAAATAATTAAATTTTATTTAACATACTCTCTTCTAAACAATGTAATAACTTGATTAACATTGAAAAGTATTATTACTTTATGTTAATGATAGAAGTCGGTTTTGCGACACCTAGGCGCCACAACGTTTATGAAAAAAATTAGAATGTGTTATCCATGTCTTGTAATTGTCTCGACTTTAAAAGACGTTTCCTAGCATGCAATTGGTAATCATTGTGGATACAAAGATATATTAAGTGTCTTCTATCTTGACAAAACCCTCACGTCTCTATATACGTATAACATTGTACGCATTTTAATAAAACTGTTAGCGCAACAAATGCGCAATACAATAGCAAAATTTTTTGTTCGGTATAAAATCATGCATGTACAAAATAAATAATAATAAATAACAATAAAATAAAAGATACTTGACTTTACTTCATAGAATCAATAATATAAATAAATCCAGCCATATATAATCCATTATGATGTTAATATTATTAAAAAATTATTATTTTATAATTAAAAAGCTTTATGATGAGAAATTTGACTGAATTATTAAAATAATATAAAATATAGATGGGAAAATATCATACTAATTATTAACATATAAAAAAAGAAACAAAAGGAATTTTGAAATAAAAAAACACGTTAAACTCTTTAAAATATTATTAAGTAATTCCGCAATTTTCCCGCATAATTTACCAAATCTTCATACATTTAAAACTTAAGCTTATAATATTTATAAATATTTATAAAAATGGTTAAGATATCTTATACTCATATTGTTATTAGGAAGGAGGCCGATACAACAGCCTTGTAATGGCGATACCTTATCACCTGTCTAAAATGTCTCAGCTGGAAATCACGTATACATATTATAAAAAAATATAATTATATCTAAATAGATCAATCTCTCACTTCACAAAACAATATTATGTTTGTAGATCTTTATCACGAATCCGAATTTAGCATAAGATAAAAATGGCATATATATATAATTTAGCCTTAATCATGCAGATATAATAATAAAAATAGTACTGTATTGTAATAATGTTAAATTAATGCAACTTGTTGAGTTCACATATACAATTTGTAAATTATGTTAGCAATATGTTATAATGACCCGAAAAGAAAATTGCATAGATGTCAGATATTAAATAAATTTTTAAATTGATCATAATTAGATCATAATAGCTTATATTATGTAAAATTAAGATCATTATAATGCATTAAATATTTTTATATATTTTGAAAAAAAATTACATCCATATAATAAAACTCATATTTAAAAAAAAAACAAATTTTTAAGTGTGTAATATATTAACAAAAACATAAAAATTAATAGCAAATAAAAAATATAATTAATATAAACATATAATATAAATAAATGATGTAATTTTTGCGATTTTATATAATTAGATATCTTAAAATATATATCTTTAATAAAGTCGATTTTGTACATGAGATAAATTATGAAATGATATAATCACATAAGATAAAAAAATAAAACAAATTGACACATAAAACCAATATATTTTTAGATAAATCATGACATTATTATAATATAATTTAATTTGTTAAATCGAACCAATAATACATATAATTTGTATGTATTATGCTAGCCCATTGTTTCATAAATGCTCATAAATAATTAAAGTACTAGTTTCATAAATAATATTAGAATTTTTAATAATCTAATTTAATTGCTAATAGTTTTAAAGTTTTTAATAATTTAAATAATTTTTTCTAATTGTAACTAAAGAAAATGCCTCATAAAATAACTTTATCTACTACTACTTTATGAACTTTATAAATATGATCAAAACTATTTTATATCAACTGTCTTAAAATATATAACTCTCTTGAAAATTTTAACAATATCTTTCGAGAAAAACATGTTAATAAAAAATTGTTTAACACTATTATTAATTATACTCTATAGAAAATAAAAATATATGATTAATATTATACAGGAACTGTTTTAAAATATACATAATAATTCGTTAAAATCGACCATTTGATTCAGGACCCCTATTCTGTAACTTTCAACGCTTGCATTAAGTATGTTGCACAGTTATTTTATGGTATAAAAATCCTGCGCAATGATATATAACGCAAGCGTTAAAAGTTATAGAATAAGATTATCGGTACGTAACAATATGCCTCTCTGTAAAATTAATTGATTAATAAACTATTTAATATTACTAACAATTAACTGTTTAAAAAATGTATGTATATGCTCAAAACATATATATATACATATATATATATATATATATATATATATATATATATATGCGACAATTATTTCAGAATAAATAGAAATCGACCAGTGTCTCACTTTCATTTATAAAAATATATCCTTTTGTAATATATATATATATTACTCATTTATACAAGAAAGAATAATATAATTAATGTATTCTTAATCAAAGCATGTGGAAAAATTACATTTATTTACATGATTTATCTCATTTATGTAGTTAAAATATATATTGGAAAATGAACATTATTTAATGCTTTAAGTTATCAGAATTGACATTTTGATTTTAATTAAAAATATGTGATGACTCTGATAGATAAATTATAAATTATTATACATTTTATTTATTGTACATATATACATAGTCTTAAATTTTCAGTAAAAACCTGTCAAAATTCCTCAAATCTTCATGCTGTTATCGCAATGGGTTCCTGAATTTTTTCTTTTGTACGATCTTTATTCTTTTCTGGCAAATCTGTTGGCACATCTGGTAGTATAACATTCTGTGGTATTTCAGGAGCCTTCTCATTGATCTCGGTTTCCAACAATGCATCCAATTCTGTTTCGATTTCACTTTCATCGATATTATCTTCTGCAGCAAGTGTCGATGACAATATTTCATCTATTTCTCTCTGCTTTTCAATACCTTCTCTTGTTTCATCCATAATTTTTTCAATTTCATCAATAGATAGCAAATCGTGTAGCTGTTTTAATGTAGTATTACCGATTCTTAGGCCATCGACAACTTTCATTTCAATTTGAGCAAATTCTAAATCATGGACCATACGCTCAAGATTCTCTAACTGACCGTCTGCACGTGATAAAACTTGTTCCTGATACTTCTTTTTGCGCAACAAAAGCAATGCACGACTGCAAGAATAATAAATTACAAAATAATTTTGATAAAGTATACAAAGCTTGATTCTGTCATTAATTCATGTAATAATAATCGAGCAAAGTGTGCAAATAAGATTAATTCTCACAAGAAACAATTATATAGGTATATGTTATAATCAAACATAAAACTTATAATAAACAATTACAAAATATATTAAGCTTGTATACAATGTATTATAAATAAATAAATCCAAGAAAAGTATAATATTCAAAAATACTTACTCTTTCTTTCCATTTTTCAACAGTTCTTTTGCCAGTGATCGTTCTTTCTCTAAACATTGTTCAATTTTTCTCTGGTACTGTTTAATTTTATCTCTCGCTTGTTTTACTTGCTACATAAACATTAAGAGAGAAATTAAATGACAGTGCGCGTCTTTGATGATTTCAAGGTTATAATATATACTATGTAAATATTACATTTATATTTCATTTGTATTGCTTCACAAATCAAACAACCGTTAATAAATCGCAAGCTAAGACAAATTCGATCATTAATAAAAAATAATTTGGCAAATTTATATGTAACGTTATGAGATAAAGGAATTAAGATGATTCATACCAGGATCGCTTTGTCCTGTTCAGTAACACGACTCGGTTGCTTCTTCTTTGCGAAGAAGATTCCCATTTTGATTTAGGCGATAGCACGGAATCGCGAGTTGAATATTCAGTTTACTCGCCAGTCACGTTGCGTTACGTTTCGTTTGACAGATACTGAAAAGATACCGAGATAACCTCGCTCCGAGCCAGTCGACGGCCATGTTGGACTAATCGAGATAGACGCTTCGATTCTCGATGAGTTGCTACGTCACTTCTGATTCAAGTTCAGAAGGAACTGTAGAGGTGAAGCGGCAGTGTCTTTTCGTTCTTAAATTACATTAAATTTCGCGTATTTCGCGAGTATTTATTATATAAAGTGCGCGAAAAGTGTTCATGGATAATAGATGTACAGTTTTTGAGTATCATAGTGACAGAAAGTAGTTTTTAAGTGATAAGAAACTAGAAATAATTCTGTGAACCGATAGCTTCAGCAAATGCGTCCATGATGACGTCATTTGAACGCGAGGTAAGTTGAGAAACAATTAGAAAAAAATTATCTCAATATATAATCTTCTCTTAGTTCCAATCTAATTATGATTACATTTCGGGATTGCAATTTGCATTCTTTAATTTAACTTAAAGATTGATATTAAATAATTTTTCTGAATTAATATCGAATACGCGCGATAATAATCCTCATCTTTATTTTTTTTTCCGAATAAAAGAGACTGGTATCAAATTCGTTTGCTGTAAGATCCTTTATCGCATATATAAAGTCGAGAATTGAATTAATTAATTTTAATCAATCTAATTATAGTAATAAATAATTACTCCAATTTTTAAATAAATTTTTATAGATTTATATCTCAGTAGATTTTTCATTAAATTTTTAAATATATATATCATATTTACAGATATATATTGATACTTGTATTTTCGGATTGAATGTACATAAATATATATACGCTATATTAGTTATAAATCGAAACAAAATTTTATACAAAATAAAATCTTACAAGAAATATATGTGTAATTTATAATAATTAATTAAGAGGGAAGTAGGAATTAATAAACCACAAAGACATTAGATTGAATTGAACAATGTCCATTATATTATATATTTTATTCCCACATACACACGGCACGTTGTGAACCTTTTCTTAAATATTAATAATATTATCATAATAATAATAATAATAATAATCGTCATCATCATCATCTTCATCATCATTATCCTCGTCATCGTCGCAATGATAATAATTTCAATAATCATAAGTAAACAATAATAAACATAATAATGTGAATTCATGAGTTATATTTATATTTATGTATATATATATTTATAATAAATCATATCGCAATATAATCATCGCATATCATATAATATATATTTATATGTACAGAGGGGTATAATATTGTTATTCTTTATTAGTTTAATATTTATAATCGCAATATTATATTTATTTTTGTTTGTATACATACACAATTAATTAGATTATCGGCCCTCGCTCGCGCCTCATGGCGGATAATTTCTCACTTTCTATCTTTTGTTCCTATCTCGCTTTTCCCACTTAAATATCTCGGGACCGAGTATTCTCTCATAATCGCTCGAGTATCGCGCAATCGACCGATCTCAGTATCTCTTTTCCCATTTGAGAAAAGTATCGTCGACGCAAGCGATGAAATTTTTTTAATCGATCAGGCTAATCGATCGATTCGCTTCCTCGAACGCAATCTCGGCGCTCCGCGATCGTTTTGTGTTTATCTTACAAAACATCCATTATAGTCTGGCCGCTTTTGGACAGAGAATCGATCTTTTCTTCACTTCTGACTTTCGTTCCCAAATCTTGCTCGAATGATTGAACAGGTGTACCGATTTCTCATAACAATCGCGATCGCGATTTAACATCCGTGAAAAAGAGAATCGCTCGATTCTCCCCCCAGTAGCGCGCCTTTCATAAATATTCTGTACAATGTTATAATTATTATAAATCATCAATATATCTTATATAGTCTTATCATTATGTCATTATTATCGGTAGTGTAAAATTGAAACTTTTACGTACTCTTACGTAGATTAGATTAGCGTCTGCTCGCCCACTCGCTAGCAGGCGGCCTATTGTTATGTGTATATATATCATTTTTTGTTCTTTTTCTTTTAAGTCGATACATAATCGTATAATTTAGTATGTCACTATATGTACTGTAATCGTTTACGATTAGTAAGAATATGTAAAATTGGTATTTCATCTTATCCCTTGGCTTGCTCGTATAATTCAATAAATCTCGTTTAAGCATCCACATAATCATTTAATATACATGGAATTAAAAGGGGCTTAGTTATTGCTTGTTATATTGCAAGTTTCTCCTCATTGCAAGCTATATGCCATGCCATCGAGCTTTTTCGCCGTTGCTCTTCTTTACCGCTATTGCGATCCTTTCGCTGCGAATCACAGAAAGTATGCCCGAAAGTTTGGTTTTCCTCTCGTTCGCTACATGTCCGATATGAATAATAAGATGATTAAACCTAACGTACAATATTTGTCGAATTATTATAATTTGTAGCCGTAGAAACAAATCGGAACTTGTTTAAAATGTCTAAACGACGATGGTATTCTTAATTCATCAATTGGCGTCGTCGGTGTGTATGTGTGTATGTATTATGTGATAAAATGATAATCTTTAAAAATTTATATATCATTCAGCTCTCAATAACAATATAATGCGAACAAATTGCTAGTATGATTATGAATCATTCATTATATAAGTTTCTGAAAAATATACAGCATTATAACATTGCACATGAATATATCGAATAATACGCGTTTGTAATTTCTGAAATAATATATTTACACGTAATTTTAAAAATATTAAAAATCTAAAAAAGATATTAGAAAGCTAAAAAAGATTATTTTAGCACCGTAATTATTGTAATTCCTCATAAATAATAATTTTATAGATTGCTATTTATTGCACAAGAAAATAAAATAATTTTTTTTGAATAATAAATTATTTATAATAATAAATTACTGTCTGAGCCATGTTATATATGTTACAAATCCATTTAACGTATAAATTCTAATATATGCCAAAAATTAACTTTCCTTGTTTTGTGATTTTATAATTAATATAATGTCATTGCATATAAATCTTATTTTCATTTATTTTCATTATTATATATTAATTTTATGTGTATTATTAAATGACGACAATAAATTATTAATAAACGAGAAAAATAAATATCGAAATGTAATCGTAAATCATATTCATATTTTTTGAAATTTAAGCTAGTTGCACATGAGTATGAGCACTGCATTAATTTGACGCATTTTTAAACAAGACATAATATCAAAACGATAACAATACAATGTGTTACATGTACATGTACACCCACATTGCTTCATTATCTTCCATATATTGTTTAAAATTTTTATTTATTGCGCAGTAAATTGACGCAATATTCATACATCTTCTATTGCTTGTGTGCAGCTTGTGTGCAACGTAAATGGATACTGATATAACACGGCTATTAAGATATTGCAAAATGAAAGATTGTTCTAATGACATAAAAACTTGTGTTATATTAATTCATATAATGCAATATAACCAGGGTCTGTATGAGAGAGTGTATATTCCAAATTATTAAACGATCCTTCCGAGTAGCATCAATTGAATTACAGTCTTGCAGACGATTCGATATATATCTTATGTGATAAATGAAGAGATTATATATAAAACAGAAACTATATATATATATATATATATATATATATATATATATATCTAAAGATATAAATTCAAATATTTAGTTGATTCAAAGACCAACTAATTGAAGAACTGATAATACTTCGCAATAATAATACCGCATTTATCAAATAATGAATCTTTTGAAAAAAATGATTAGCAGATTCGAAAATTATAATGCTACGAGATATTATAGGCTAACTGACTCGGAAGTAACATCTCAAAAGATTCATTTTTTGTCAAATCGTTCCGTTTCTGTAATTACTACCGCTGCGCACGTGTGTGTATCGATAAAAATTGATAAGAATTACATAACGTACGAATAACTAGTAATGACAATTTTGTTAAAATCTTATAACATTGATTAGTTCAACGGTTAGCAAATTCTTACTGAAGTTCGTACTTTGCACGCAGGAAGAATATTAATAGTTGTCAGTTTACGTGTAACGGCACATATGAACGTACGCCAAGAGTGTAATTACATCATATACTTAGAATATAGCATGATGCCTTGTGAGTGTATATATAACTTATATACATATTTTGTATATGGGGTTATATTTATATCATGTTCGTGCGTATCCCCCAAAATGGATCGTCGTCGTCCACTACTTCAATAATATATCGAACGTATTTATTATTTAGCAAGCCTCTATTAACATAAGTAACTTAGGAACGACCACTGTCCCTCAGAACACGTGTCGGATATCTGATAAGGAAGTTGAACTCATTCACTGCCGGTTCTTATTTGTACGAGCAATTCACTGATAGCCTGATTATTCAGAACTTGCATAGACAACAGTGCACTATGATCGGCAGTGAACAAGTTAATGTAAACGCAATTAAATTGTAACGAAAAAGAGCGTAGACACACAACACAGAACTCAAAAAATAACAGAAAAAATAATCAATTTCTTATGATAAAAATGATTAAACTTCAAATAAGACTCTCGTCCTACTTGGCTCCACGATTCAAACTTAAGACTAGATTCACGCAATGCCAAACAGTCAATTACCTAACTTGAAATTCTTTCTACTTGAGGTTCAACCGATTGTGCTTCTTTTTTTCTGTCCGAAGTGTTTTTAAGATAACTGCCGACAGAGAGTCGGCAAAGTTATTAATTTGCATGTATGTTCTGTAAATGAGAAGTGAATTTACGCTTACGGTGATTTATTCATTAGAAATTATATTAAATTTGACTTAAAAAAAACATAGAAGTCTTTCGTTCCATCTATCATACTTATAGCATGATTTTTAATAAAACTTTTTATCGCGCTTGCGCGTGAATTAGAAGTGACTTTACACGACTGACACTTTATATCAATCTTTGATGATATTCAATTTGTAATAATTAACTTGTAACTTTTCTAAAGTGGCAATATATATTTTAATTGTCTATATATAATAAATACATAATATTAAAAATTATTCTCAATCCATCTAAATCACCAATTAATGTATTCTTATTT